ACATGCAAATCCTCCTGGTGTGTAACAGAAAAAGGTTGCTAGGTACATTCTGGTTTGGAATGTAACCTCCTGCCTTTACTTATAGTTGGAAATAGATTTCTGGGATTTAATTGTGAAGTAACTTATGGTGAGATCGAATGTCCTCCACCTTAATGCACATGAAGGTTTACGTGCATCTAATGGAAAGCGTGAGGTACAACAGAGACAGTCTTCACCTCACACCCTGTATTTCATCCAAGCAGCTGCTTTTTGCCATCCAGATGAAATGCTGAATTGAGGGAGGAAAACAAGCTGGGGATCAATTTGGACATGGTGTAAGCCGTCAGCCCTAGCCCTGTCCCCAGCCTTTGTTAGCGCTCTCTGAGGCTGATTTCCAACCTTGGAGAAGCAGTTGGTGTGGTTATTTCTTTACTGGTTACAAGGGGCTGGTATGGCATCTCCCGTATTTGGAGTCCCAGCTGCAAGGTTATAGGCCTTTGGAACTGAAACTCTGAATAATCTTATGTCCCCTCCCTCAGACAATGGCAGCCATGTCATAGGATGGCACTTTAAGCCTTTTCCCATAGTGTCTGATTCACTAGGCATAAACTACTCTGGATTTATCCTGAAAATCTCAACTACCTTATGCAGTTATAGAGAATATATAAATAGATGAAGCAAGCATGTGTTAACTCTAATTTTATATTCCTATGAGGAGTTGTGTGCAGACCAGATCTCTGTTACAGGTGCTTAGATTTGATTTGGAATTCATTTGCTCCTCCTTACCCTTCTCATCATACCTTTATTGCTAATCATTGCTCTGCTGTACATACACCATTCCTTTCTGCTTGAGATTATATAGGCTCAGATTATTTTTCTGTCAAAAAAGACTAAATGTGCACAAATGCAGATATGCAGCCCTTCTTGTGCCACTAATTTTGACAGCGTGTAAAATGGGGGTGGTGGGTGACACTTGAAACATTTCTGTAGGATAATGAAGAAGCCGAGGCTCCACTTTGGAGAAACTAGTGGCCTATAGTGAATGCCAGATAAAAAGGTTTGAAAACTGCAGATGATTTTAAAGAGAAAATGATGATGATGATGATGATGCAGGAAAGGGGCAGAATAATGCTCTTATCTATTAAGAAATGTTTGAATAAGCATTAAGAAGGGGCTTTTTGGTGGGAAAGATTAGAACTGCTGTACACACCAAGGGAAAAAAATCCCAAACCAAACAGAAGTGATATATTCTGGAGACGAGTTGTATGATAAAAGTGTGCAAACACTTGTGCCCACTTGCATGGTTTGTTCATGTCATGACAGTATTGGCTGGCTGGGTACACCTTTAGCTACCCAGTTGTTGAATGGAACATCATCTTGGGAAGGCGACTTGGAAGGCAAAGTTACCACAGTATGTTTGACTTGTGTGATTTAACAGTCCTGGCAATTAGTGGCTAATGACCCTGAAGCAGGCAGAACCCTGTGCTTCAACTCGTACATCCTTTCACTCATGCCCATACTAGGAGCAGCTGCTGCTTGCTGCAGAGTATGGATGAAGTGCCACAGACATCTCATACTCTTAAATCTGCCTCCTTCCTAAAACTGAGAGTGAATAACATGCTACCAGGAAATCCATGTAACAAATGTCATATCATGGTATTGTTTTTTAAAAACTGCCTCAGGAGGCTGTAATTCTGAGAGGACAAAAATAAGGAAACTACTAAACCTTCACTCTGTCACATTTTCTGCTTAAAATTCTCCCACAATCATTTCCCCTCTGTCTGATTTCCAGGAATATTTACCCTGTAAACACACTTCTTAAACCTTGTGATGGGGAAAAAAGTGAGGAGATTTTGAGCAGAAAGAACATCTGGCAGGGAAAGGGCTGAGTACCCCACTTCTGCCAGCCCTACATTCAGAAGTGCAGTCTCAGGAGAGACTACTTTTAATTGAAAACATAGGTGTGTGGGGACACCTGGATTTCCCACAGTTGTTTGTGTAATATGTGGCATTGGTTGGTTCCCAGCTGAATCCCTCTCTTCTCTTTCCTTCCCAACCAAAAGGAGTTAGCTCTGCCTGCAGGGAGGTTCTCACTGCTTGCGGGCCAGATAGCAGGAATGTTGAACACTACTCAATTGGTCTGTCCTTTTGATCCATTGTTGGACTATGTTACAGCTGCTTCCCTCTGGCTCTCCCAGAACTAGAGGTGGTCTGGTTCTCATCAACCCCTTGGTTTATCTTGGATCATGCTGGTCTTGGCATTATATCAAAGAATTCTGATCCCAACTCTTCTTCCAGTTCTGATAAAGTTTCTGAGGCAACATCTTTGGAATGTTGCATCTTGGCAGAAGTGGGCCCAGTCCTTACAAGTTCGTTAGCCATGCCAACAACCCATTCTCAGCAGGTTCAGTTGACACAAACACCTATGAGCAAGGCTTAGGTTACATAATGGGCACTCAGAGGCACCTGATATGTGCTGCAAACCATGGTGGCTTGTTTAAGTCACTAAGGATTAAAATGATGATGCAAACCAAGTCAGTGTTTCATAAACCATTTGAGCTGCCTGATAAACAATTTGCAGGTATCATTTAGTTTGGAGGCCCAGAACGGTGGCCTGAAAAGTAATCTGGAAGGGTAAAGAGAGGACAGGGAATTTCAGACGATTAGCAGGCACTGCAGGCAATGACCAGATTTGCACAAGTCTAACAAATGTCATGATATATTGAATTGTGGTGGCAAGGGTGGCTTATGTGAGCACTGAAAAAGCCTAAGTTATGTGAGGGTTTTTAATGCTCATATAAGCCATCCTGGCTGGTTCTTGTGGCAGAATAAGCAATAATGACAACCTGCCATGGGCAATGACATACAACCAATTGTGGCTTAAATAAGCTACGGTGGTTTGCAGTGATTGTGCAAACGGACCCTATGAAAGAAAATCTGGCTAAAATCCTTCCAAAGTAAAAATTGGCTTTTGAAATGTTATTGAAATTGCAGTAACAGGGGAGGGTTTTTAGATTCAATCCATGGTTGGAGGGCCCTCCTTAAAGTGCACGTGCTTAAGTCAGATGTAGTGTGCAAAGCATGAATGGGCTGAATACCTTTTAATCTCTCAGGTTTCTCTTTTTACTGGAAGACTTAAAGAATGGAGTCTCAGGTACTAGGACCCTGCTTCTGTAGACTTAAAAGAAGTGCCTTGTGTTTGGAATTGATGTTGAAAGCTACAAAAAATGACCCAACATAGGACATAATAATGTTGCCCAAAGAAACAGTCGAGAAGAGTAGTGATTGACAGAAAGCATGGGTAAGAAAAGGCCCCTCATTTCTGAATGATTTCTCATAACATTCTGGAAGAAAACGCTCAACACGACGAGATAAGCTAGACCATTAACTTTTAGCAGCAGTGATGCATATTCCAGATTCCTCAACTAAGCATAGGGAAAGGGCACAGAAATAGTTCAGAGACCATTATTTTTGAGGTTGCTCAACAAAAAATGCTTCATGCCCCCTTGGAATCCAGAAGACTCTGGCTAAGCAAGGAGACTTAGTGATGTTCTGCATACAATTAGGGCCTATAAATACTGGCATTTCAAAAAAAATGTCCTTCAAATATAGATGCCCTGATAGCAAATGAAGAGATGTACTAACTTATTCATTTTAAATGCTGGTAGTAGTAGGGGAGGATAGGAAGCCAAAACACTTTACTGAATACCAAGGAATTTGGGGGAAAAAACGAAACAAAATTCCAACAATGTTGAACAAATCCTCAAGTCCCTATTCATAGGATAAGCCTCCCCTGGGATGAAAGCCCTTAGTAACTCAGTCTAATCCTCTCAGCATATTTTTTTTCATAAATCCATCAAACTAATTCGAATGGTGTTCTAATTCTTTATGTTTTAGAGACTGGTAAATGGTATATTTACCCTCATCCCAAGCAAAATGTCAGTTCCTGCTTGGGTCAATCAAATCCTGCCAAGTGGGCCTTATGCATCCTGAATCACTTCTTCCCCTCAGCTCCAGTGGGAAATTATCCTTGCACTTTGCAAACATGGTTTTATATCGGCAGATGGCCACCCCACCTTACAAGATGGAAAGCTAAGCACCTGAAACCACAGAAAAGGCAAAGTTACACCATTTGAAATTTATACAGAGTCTAACCCATTTTGTTGCTGTTGTTGTTGTTACTGTCCCCAAACAAGCATTTTGTTTGCTCTGAAGTACACATAGCTGTTTATAGAGTTAAATGTCATGCAAATGAAGAAAGTGCCATTTAGAAGTTCCCCTGGTCGTAGAAGTGCACGGTAGTTATTCTCACATCAAAGAGTAAAGACTTTTAAAGTTAGAAAAAAATGGAACAAGAAACAGAAAGACTGCCATAATAATAACCACCATCACTCTTCCCATACCTGTACTGGAAGGCAAGAAGGTGATGCCAAAAATAGAAGTCTTTCAGCTCTCCATACCTCATCAAAATGATACAACGGTGGCATCAGAGACACACTGGCAATCAGTTTATCATTTAAAAAAAGCTTGAAAAGGATCCATGCCTCTGTTCCTTCAAGCTAACTCTGGTGTTCTTTGAAAGCGGAAGCTGTCCTTTGACTCCAAGCCCAAAAGTGTTCTTGGTCTCCACTGGGTTCCATTAGCACACGCAGTTTTCCAAACCCTTCCATGGCACCACAAGGAGTCCTGGTATGGTGTCAAGCACTTGATGAGATTTGCCGGAAGCCCACATCAGAAATCCTTCCCCCTCTTCTAGCTTCTTTTACCTCTTGTACTTTCAATAACGATTTGTCACAAAGTCAACTCCAAATGTAAACAATAACATATTAAGCCCCGCAGCCCCCCACCCCAACTTCATTAAAAATCAGCCACAAACCCAAACAGTTGATATTTCTAGGTATTACATAAAGATCAATTTCAGCAAATACTCAAAATTCATTTACGAAATAACACGAAGGGTTTTGTTTTTGCTATAAAAAGGCATGCACTCAAAGTACAAGAGATAGCGAAAGGTTTCACTTTGTTTGTTAAAAGCATAATCAAAATGCCTCAGAGTGTCATTAGCAATGCTTGCATTCTCTGTCTTTGCTGGAAAGTCTTGGCCTCTATTTTTGTTTCAAACTGAAGGGGCAGTTCTGCTTCCATAGGGTCAGCATCTTCAGTGCTGCTACATTTCATGAAGTGTTTATGTAAGAAAATTGTGATGGGCAAGGGAAAGGTTTGAGCTATGTGTTCATTTATTTATTTTAGCTTAATTATGAAACTGTGTCTTGGAGGGGCAGAGGATAAACATGCTGTAGATAAGGGAGCAAAAGGCCATTGAAAAAAAGTTGAATTTATGGAGGTTTTTGCCAAGCTGAACATCGATAAAAGAAAGTTACAATATTCTATTGGATTGTGGCAAAAACTGCCCATGCCACTGCATTAAAAATAATATGGAAAAAGTATCCTGCTAGCAAGCTGGATTTTTAAAGTTATCCCTATTTACTCTTGGCATATTGAAATGCCAATAAAGTGTCAACTGTTTCCTTTCTGTCAAGCTTGAGAGGAAGAAGAGAATGAGCAAATATATCATTAAAAGTGTTGTGAATTTCTGTTAGCCCAGTCACAAAAAAACATTCTTTTTTGGGAAGATAGATTAATGGTGCATTTTACTTACCATTCTGAATAAAGCAATATTCACCCCAACAGAAGTTTCTGAGGGTTTAAGTAAAGTTGATACGTCAGATTTTAGCTTAATGGTGCATGGAAAATGCAGGTATTAAGGGTGGACAGACCACCATGAATGCCCTGGAATTTATATAATGAGGGGTGGTATATAAATGTTACAAATAAATAAATTGACAGAGCTTAACAGGGCAAGAGCACTGTTCATGGGTGGATACCAATCCACTAGTGAATGGAGGTGGCTACGCAGCTTCCCTTGGCACATGGTAGTTGGAATTTTCTTTGCATGTTCTGTTTTTTCTCAGTTACCTTAAGACTAGTGGAAATAGTAGACTGAATAGATCCTGTCCCTGTGACAAGCATGGTTAATTGTGAAAAATATTTAATGAATGTGAATCCGTGAGCTCTGCCGAGTATTAGCTGAAGGCTGTGTCTCAGTCTATTCTTCAGGTGTTTCTCCTTTTACACAGAAAGCTGCTTCATGCAATAGGGCCCTGGCATTTGCCCTATTCTACGAGAATGGCACAACGTGGCAAACATGAGCGTGTGAAACAGAAGGAGAAGTCTATTAAATTCTCGGCTTATTTTGGTGAGGAGCGCTGTGTGAGAGAGCAATTCCAGCAAGAACCAAGTAGTAGAGTCAGCAGCCAAGTTCCTTAGATAAAGTATAGCAGGGAACTTCCCTTGGTAGTGAGGCAGTGAGAAACTTGGCCTGCGTGGCTGTGCTTCAGCTGAAAAACATAAAAGGAAATGGCCTTTTACTCCACCAAAGTGGTGTGCTCCAGATTTGGTTCTTCCCAGTCTTTCCCATCCCCTACAACTATTCATGACATTCACTGTTCTTCACAGACATATTCAGAGATTTGTCCCCTACTGGCATCCAGCTCTCAAGGTCTGAGGGATGTGGTGGAAGGAAATTGATGGTGCTAGAAGACACCAGGTGCCCAAGAGGTCAGGAATCATGCTAAGGGGAACCCTTCTTAAGAGCAGCCTGGTGAGAGCTGCCCAACATCCAGCTCCCAGTAGTTCCGGCCAAAGTGCTCCTCATACCTCCAAAGACTAAGAATGATCTCCCAACCTGAGCAAAGAACCAAATTAAACATGGAAAAAACAGGCAAAAGCATATACTGAAGTTGTCCTCATTCCTGTGGTAACTATGGGTTGCACTACGACTCTTTGGTGCTACTGGGTCATCATTCTGCCATGAGCTACAAAGGGAATTGAGACAGTGGTTTCACATAGTACAATCTGATGTTTTATTGCTGTTAGCATCCTGCAATGCCCAAGAGTCTGGGGTGAAGTGCAGGGACACACACACCAACTACTGAAAAGTATTTGGGGAATGGACCAGTTGCAGTTAGCCAATTTTAATAAATGCAGTTTTCCTTTAGCACACCTACTTTTAAATGGCCCAGAGCCACTGGAGGGGGTATTTGAGAAGACAGGGGTGGGAGATGGAATAATCCTATGCTACCTTACAGTCTGTTTTGTGTGTGTTAAAAGTGGTTCTCTCTTGTTGAGTTGCAATTACAGGAATTCATTTAAAACAAAAACAAAACAAAAAAGCATTGCTCTGCTCCTTAAGAATTCCAAACTCTGCAGCTCTGAGCAAGTCAGAGAATGGAGGAAGAAATCCCCCTTGTTTGAGAAATAGTACAAAGCACCCCACCATGCTTTGGCCTGAAATTCTGAGGAGTGTAACAACAAGAACTACTTTTAAAAAAATCTTGCTGTAGATGCTTCAGTGCCTCAATGAAGTGCCAAACATTATTTTCCTGAAAGTCTAACACTGGCAGCAAATCCTCAGCAGTGCAAGCCAGGGAAATTAATAGCCCTTTGCCAGCCTATACAGAATAGGAAAATACATTTTTCTATCATTGTCTTAGCATGTTTGTTTAAACAAAAGATTTAGGTCACTTTTTGATATGCCAAAAAGGATCTGACCAGAACCATCACTATACCTTCAGTCAACTTACTGCGGTAAAACAGAAGGTGCTCCAGATCTGTGGAAGTGAACAATTTGCCATTTGCCATCCCGGCGGTGCCAGATTCGGGTCTCCTCAGACTGTGCAGTGCGAGGGATCCCATTTGTGTCAACATATTGTGTGATGCGGATATAAGCAATACAGGCAGACTCATCTCCCATTAAGTGGATATGTGGGTTCAGAATAGTAGTGTGGACTGGTTTGCTGTTTCTGGACCATACTGGGTAGGGAAAGAAAAGGCAGTGAAGTCAGAGCTGTCTGCTCCTTGCTTCTTCAGTATAAATGGGAAATCTCCTCCAGTCTTCACAAAATAATTGTAGCAACCAGAGGTCATGCATTTATCTAAGCTGGCATCAATTTACGCTCCCAGTTTAAGAAAGTTTCTGGAAGTTTAAGAAGGAATGAGGGGAACCCTCTTTTAAACTTTCAGAAACTGTGTAAATCATTGCAGTTCATAAGGTAAAACTTAAACATTAATTCTGCATTGAAACTTTGGGAAAGATTAAAAGGTAAAGCAATTAATGTTTATGAATATGCAAAGCCAACCACTGAGTCCAAACACTGGCCTATTCAGCTCAGCCCTGTTTATTCTGACTGGTGGTAGTTTTCCAGTTCTTCAGGTAGAGTTCTTTACCACACAGATACTTGAGCTCCCCTTTAATGGGTGATCCCAGCAATTAGATCTCAAGCAACGCTATAGACATACGTGCACACATACATATATATGAGGCCTCAATACTTTTTTTTTTTTTTTTACAAAACTCAAAAAAGATAAGGCAAATGTAATAGCAGTAAGTCCATCAATTCCTATCAACCAAAATAGTTCTAAGATGAACATTTTTGTTCAGGGAGTTGAAATTTCAACTTTTAACAGCTAGAATCTTGGTAAATGACAAGGAAGGAAAATTTATATACACTCCTTTTCCCAGGACTCTTTCATACTTTATTATTATGGATTTATACTGGCTCTAGAGATGGGGCATGGAGATAGAAAGGCAGATGAAAATATTTATGTTCTGATAAAAAAGACAAATGATATTTTGCAAAGGTAGAGAATGCTTACAGTTTTCAAAGTAGAATCGATGGAAATCTAGCCCTTCCACCAGATTCCCCAGAGCCTCTGGTTCAAAAGCGGTCATGCCAGGATCACACATTTTTCTGGAGAAGCCCACGAAAACAAAGAAAGAAGTGAGGGGATGCAGGAAAGGGAAATAAAAATACCTCATCATCTTGATTATGTAGCATCACTTCACCCCTATGAATGTACAATTAATAAAGTTAATTCATCTAATAAATAGGGAGTTTTTTTAACTTCATATTTTTTCAAACTCTGTCTCATTCCTCCTAGTCCTTATTGCACTCAGTGGCATTTTCTTCACTTCTTGGCCTTTGACTGTAATAACCACATTTACTTCTATGTCTTCTGGGTTTTGGAGAGTAAGAGACTGCAAGCATTACCAGCAAGTTGTAGGAGATACAATTTTGGCACAGTAAACCAAGGTTCCGTGAAAGCCTCATCCTGATGGACTACTGTCTAATGGAAACTTCTGTATTCCAACATGAACAAAGAGTTTAATCCCATGGACATTTACGACTGAGAGTTTATTCCATAGCACATGGTTTGAGGATGGCACCATAGCCCAACAGTGCGATGTCCTGTATCTACTTGGTCTAACTCCACTTGCCATGCATGTTGCTTTGTTTCCAAGAAAAATCTAAACCTTCTGAGAACAAAAAATATTCCAATAGAGTTGTCAGACTATGAAATTTTCTTGGAGAATGTCCACAGTGACATGAGCACCAGAATGACAACTGGTCAGGAAGCTAATCGGGGAACACCTGTTTCCCACACAACAAAAGAGAAGGAAAACCCAAAATGGTTCAAGTCAATATATATTGGAATATTTCATCAGATTTTCAATTAAGTATTGTCTTGTAACATTTTAAGTACTCTCTTTTGTTGTGCTGTATTCAGTGGTACAACCCTCATGTTGCTGAGAAATTTCCTTTCCCACCAGTAGCTTCAAAATACATGTAGGCACAGCACAAGAAAGTAACATAGTGGCAAATTTGTCATGAAAATTCAGTAGGGGGAGATAACTCTATATTCTTATCATCCTTGCCTGATACTATGTTATTGTGATGATTTTTCCTCTCCTCTCACCCTTTTGTTATAGATTATCACTAAAACATAAGCTGCAATGAACATAATGGCATGACCACAGGAACTTGTCGAGAAACTTGATTCCATAGACTGTGGAATGCACTCCCCAGAGAGCTTATATTCTTTTCAGCACCAGGTGAAAACCTTTTTATTTAACTGTCATTTTAAGAATTAGGGATTTTAGATGCTTACGTTAACAGTTGAATTCTATTTTATTTTAATTATTTTACTTTATTATTTTTCTTATGAATGTGATTTATTCATTTTTGCTTATTATCAGTTTAACTTGATGGTATTCTGTTATTACTGATTATAATTATCATAATCTATTATTTTCTATTGTATTATGGACTTTATTTTTTATTGTTGATTTTATGTTTTGTAAGCCATCTTGAGACATTTAGTGAAAGGCAGGATAGAAATGTTTTATTAAATTAAAATTACATTAAACTTATTCTCAGTTCACATAAAAATGAAGAGACATCAAAGTAGAGAGTAGCCTATTGTAGGCTGTAGTGCTACACAGAAAGTGTGCAAAGCTTTTTATACATAGCATTTTAATTGACTCAGGCAACTTGTCCATATCTCCTGTTTGTCAAATTTTGCTTAGATGGCTACAGATGTGGACAGAGCTCTGCGAAAAGTACGTCCAAATATGTGTACACTTGCCCAGACTCTCTACTTCTTATCAGCTGGGAGAGGCTAGCCAGGAGGGGCCCAGGCGATAAAATCCTCTTTTGAGGAAGGGGTACTTCCTGCTCCTTCCTGCCACTGTAAAGCCACTGCTTTAGCAGGATTCTCTAGAACAGGGCCCATATAACTAGTGTAACTACTGTCTAGGATACACCATTGCTAGTCAAGGTGACTGAACAGATGGGTTGTCTGATGTAGGCCCAGGAACTTACTGATAACACTGATTATCTTGATCTATATGCATTTGCTTTCAGGCCTGGTCTGGGTACTGAAACTGTTTTGGTCACCCTGATGGATGATCTAGCCAAGAGATAGGGATTGTGACCGTGTCCATTTCCTTTCAGCTACTTTCAGCATCGCCAACCACAGTTGCCTGACAAAGCGGACAGCAGGAAGGGCTGCGATGTCTCAGACAATGATGCTGATGGATTGCTGCTTAGGCTCATGAGAATTTTCCAGTGTGATGCTGCAAGGTTCCTTCTCCTTCCTTGAGGTCTTCAATATCTACATGAAAATACTCTTATCTCTTTTTCTACACAATCAACTGAGATAGTGGATGCCCTAAACCAGGGGTCGGCAACCCACGGCTCCAGAGCTGCATGTGGCTCTTCAATGCCTCTGCTGTGGCTCCGTCGCTCGCATCACAGCCGCCGCCGATCCACGGCTGCCGCCAGCCGAACCGGGGCCCGTGCCGGCACAGTGCTTGGATAAATCAAAGAAAAGAAAACTTTCTGAAGAAAACCAAATGTTTAATGATACTTGGGTAGATTCATTTGCTTTTACTGCTGATGAACTTATGGGGTTTGCTGTTTAATGCATGCAGCCCTTTAGCACTGACTCTGACTCTTTAGGAAGCTGTTCTCCTATTCAAAATATATGAAAGGAGTCCTACTAGTTCAACAGTTTTTAGTGACTGAACAAGAGTTGCAGCTAAATCATAATGAAGATCTACATAGCATTAAGGTAAAAAACGATATATGCAGTGTTATCTTCATTTTAGATGTCAAAAGGGTTTTGCGATTCCCAGTGTTTTCTTTTGTGTGGGAAATGGGTCCAAATGGCTCTTTGAATGTTAAAGGTTGCCGACCCCTGCCCTAAACAGTGAAAGAAAAGAAGAAAATGGAGTTCACTCAGTACAAATAAGACAAATATGTTGATGGAAAGAGGTTTGTTTGCTCTGGGAAGCAAATCCCTGTTCTTGTACCACCACCTGGAACTTTAGCTCACATTCTGGGGTGGAGATCAGAGCAACAAATGTCTTTACCACCTGAATACACTTTACCTGATGATGAAAATGGAGTCCTAGCAACCTTGATACACACACTGTAAACCTCCAGGCTGTAGTAGTGAAATATTATATGCAGTGCTTCCCTTGAAATCTCAATCCATTAGAAAGTTCAATTAATTCAAAATATGACAGTTCTCTTATTAAGTCTCATAACAGAGGTTTCAAGTGGCTTCCAGAGTAATTCAAAGTAATGGTGTTAACTTTAAAGCCCTAAATGGTTTTGGTCCAGTTTACCTTACACAGTAACTCTTCTTGTATAAGACCACCATCAAATACATTAAAATTATCTGAGGAGTCTTGTTTTGAGTTTCATTCTGTCAGAGGCTTATTGATAACAGCAGCAAAGAGACCATTCTATACACTACCAGCATCTCCATGTGTTGGGTCTTCCCCTAAAGACCCAACACATCAGCTCAGTTTTTATTTTTAGCAAGATGGTAATGTTTTCCCTGACAGAATGAGCCCTTACTGACTTCCTAAGCTGGCCCCCATGTAGCCAGTGCAGAAATCAGAAAGAACAATGCTGGCTGCCTCTTCAAGGCTGGAAATCCACCCTGAGCAGGAGGAGGGTGAAGGCTGACACTGATGGCTCATGCCGTATCCAAACAATGCCCCACCCTCCTTCCCTCCCTCTCCACAGCACTTGGTCAAGATTGCCAAAAGCAGCCACCAGGATGAAGGGCGAGGTATAAAGTCCAACATGGTGGCTTCTGCGTACAGAGCACAGGGGACACTGGATTGTGGCCCACATCTGCTGAAGCTTCATTAGGCTAGAAGTAATAACCCTTTTCCAGCCAAGTCAAAATTGTGTAGAGTAAAATTCAATTAACCTGGTTACTTTACGCTGGATTTTGCTTACACATTTTGCACAAGACCTTTCTGGTGGACAGAAGAAAAACCATTCCTATAGCTTCTATTAATCATCAACAATTCCATACTGTTTGTTTTTTCTACCAGAAATTTATTAGTAGCCATAATTTATCCTTGGACAAATTGCAAGAGAAATCTCCCTTTATGATGGAAGGCAATAACAACATAGCAGTTTAAGGTAAAAAGAGAAAGGAAAAAACAGGAGTTCTTGAAGTTCATTCCTAGAAATATACTAACTTGCTTGCTTTCAGAATTGATAACCAGTATTGCCATTTGAAGATTCTACTGCTATCCTCCTACATGTTGGGCCAGGTCAACAGTAGGGTATTTTCCCCCTTACAGCCAAAACATCTGGTGGACACACTCACGTGTAGGACTCAAAGTCCCCATTGCTTATTGCTTCAATCAGCTGCTCCGTCACCTTAATGATTTCCTGTTTCCGTACTGTCAGGTTTAAAAAACAGAAAAGAGAGAGTGAAAATATTGAATGTAAATAGAAAGTGAGAAAAGACATTCTTAAGGCTGTACACATGCCACAATTCTGTAGTGCACATAATGTGGTAGTAGACAAATGATTAATCTTGAAAATCTATTTTTAAAGCAAATTTCTAGTCATCGCTGTGAAGATGTTTACAAGTTTTTGGGACAATGTGGTATCTGACAATTCTGATACCTCATTAGCCAGAGAAGTAGCTGATTATGATTTGCAATACTTTGGGACAGCTTTCAGTGTTTCTCTACCTCTAGAAACTAACTAGGAAAAAACTATGCAAAGCTACTAAGACTGTAGTATAAATTATGCAAACAAAAAGAAATTATGTAAGTTTGTTACATTTACATAACATACAAGCACCAGAATCCAACTTTCTTGGTGCTGAATGTTGATTGCTTGTGTTCACAAGTTTAATTTATTGACTGAGTTTAGTACACCCAGACCAGGGCTTTCAGATTTTTTTAATGGCTTAAGAAATAAAAAATATTATGGAGAGAGCTGGGAAAGGATACTCTCCCAGAGTGAGAATGACCTTGAAAGGAATTACTTGGTTTTCAACTTTATTCATTTAAGGCTTTTATCTACCATTCTTAGCAAAAATTCTCAGAACAGTGTATAATCAACCAGCTTTGAACAGGCGAGGTGAGAACAAAGGCAACTTGGTGGAACTTAGTTTGCAATGACTGCCTACTGCAACTCAAAAGATGGAGAAAACCTTACCATAACAATAAGGTGCATATAAGCGGCTTAGCTGTGCTGGTGCTTCACACAGGCATGCCTTGTTGCTGTCTCTTTTGGTAGCATTCCTTGCTGTGCATGAGTGAATGCCACTTGCAGGGAACCCAGGGAATGGTCTTATATGCAGTCACACTACTGGTCCATGTAGCCCAGCGCTGCCTACACTGACTGGCAGAGGTTCTCTGAGGTTTCAGGCAGAGGACTATCTAACCCTACCTGGAGAAGCCAGAGATCGAAACTGGGATCTTCTGCTTACAAAGCGAGTGCTCTAACACTGAGCTATGGCCCTCTCCTGGCACAGCAAGAAATATTATTAGACATGGCAGTATCTCCACTGGGCACACGTGCCTCTTTGCACGGTGGGAAGTATACTCTATGTTGCCCATGATAGCATGAGTACAGTTGAAAAGCTGCTTCCTCATGGCTAGAATCAGTGCCACTGGTGGTTACAGATGTCAATACTGTTCATCTAGGTCTCCCAGGCTGAGTGGTGTTTCCTACACCAGCAACAGCATTCCCAGTGAAGAGGTAGCCCTGGCTGTACAGAGAGTGCACATGAACAGGTGCAACATGAGCACGAAAGAGGGCGAATGCCATCCCATCACCACCCTCTAGGCAAACCACTGCCCTCTGCCCTTTTGCTGATGCTGCCTGCTGCTCACTTTGGCCAGCCTAGGCCTGGGCTTATAGTCTACCTGAGAACAAGGGACCATCAGCTAAGCCCCCAGTCTGTGCCTGCTGACTATCAACCCATCTTCCCCTTCTATCACCCATTAACTCAAAGCCCCTTTTATCTCCCATTCTTCAAGAATGCAGGCAAGCCCCAGAGTTCCAAGTTAATACAGCTTTATTTAAAAGACTATAAAGAAAAAATAGGAGAAAGGAGATGAATAAGGATGAGAGAGCCAAATCAAACAGTTTACTTGTCTACCTAAATTTATACTGATTGATCATACATAACAAGTGCACTTACACAGATGCTAAGGGTCACTTCAGCCTTCCATGGAGCCTCTGCAAGTGTTTGGGAAGTGACAAAACATAGGAAAAAATCCTGCATTTTTAATGTTATGTATTCATGGGTGTTTTCAGTGGCAGCCAAGAGGATAGCCTCCGGTGAGGTGGGCTGAAAGGGTGAAGTGAGAGGAATGTGTAGGCAAGTAATGTCTGAGGAAAGAGACAACTAGCACAGACAAGAGCTAGGAAAGCTGTGGCTAATTCTTACTCATTGGACAATGTTTAGATTTAAAAGAGGCAAATGATATGGAAGGTTTTGTGAAGTGGTGACTAGTTTTTCCAGCCAAGGAAAACAAGCTTTCTGGGTTCAGGACTCTGGGTGGGCATCTAGTATGTCACAGCAATTAATGTGTGAGTCTGATCACTGCAGCTTGAGAGTGATGAGGAAGGATAATGTTTAGGCCTTAATCCAGCTGAAAGTACTCTTAACTAAGGCTTACTGGAAGCAATGGGACTTAAATCATGGAACAAGGCTGAGGCTCCTTACCAGTGCCAACCTTGCTCTCTGTTCGGTGCCAGTTAAGATTGTCCTCCACCACAGGGCATTTAATTAATTTACTGTGGCTCTGTTAGCTGCTTAATCAGGTCCTAAGATTTATGTTATTTGCATTTTACATGTGTTTTAAATTTTGTATGACAAAAAACATGGTGCCTTTTCAACTGTATGTTTAATGCATTCCTGTAAACTGCCCAGAAAGCTTTTGGCAGTATAGAAGACAGAGAGACAGACAGATGATAGATAGATAGCCAATAGATTATTCCATTGCTTTCAGTAGAAGGGGGTAACATTTAACACGAGGGACTTGTTCAAATGAAAAATAATCCTGACCTGTTGTTCTTAAAAGGTGCCAGAACTTCTGAATAGACTCTCTAGGACTTGAAGGGGTGGTGAAAAATGTGAGGGAGATTTAGCTACCTTATGAGATTTGAGCAGCCTAAGAAAATACTTTCTCCTTAGCCTGGGTGCTTTTAAATGGAGAGTAGAACATGAGTAAGCAGTGATATGGCTCCCAAACCCTAGACAGGTGAAGCCATTCTGCTTCTAGCCTTTTCTTCAAAATGGCAGGCAGACACAGTCCTACAGCCCAGCTACTAAAATTACCTGGCCTTATGGGCAAACTAGTCACAAAATGCCTGAATATAACTTCCTCCAGTAAAGAGGGGACAATTGTAATACCAACAAAAATGTCCCCCTTGCCTCAGTGAAGAGTTTTCTAGAGAATAATAGAGAATAATGTAAGCTGCCTTGAGCCCTTTGTAGGAAAAAGGCAGGATATAAATAAAAAAAATAAAAAATAATAATACAGTACAGTAAAACCCCTGTATCTGCTGTTTCAGGCACTGTGGTTTCACTTCAACATGGTTGACCATGGTCCAAAAAAAATTAAATAGAAAACTACAGAAATACAGCAAACATTCATAATTTAAATTGTGTGCCATTCTGAATAACATGATGAAATCTCATGCAGTCCTCCTGGGACGTTAATCATCCCTTTGTCTGGCATATCCATGCCCTATATTCTACCCAGCTATTAGTTACTTAGCAGCCATCTTGATTATCAGATCAGCTCTCATGGTATTGCAGTGTTTGTGTTCAAGTGACTCTTATTTTGCTTAATAATGGCCCTGTAGTGCAAGAGTAATGATGCTGGAAAATAGGATGTCCAAAGAGAAGTTGTAAAGTGTTTCCTTTAAGTGAATAAGTGAAAATACTCGATTTAATAGGGAAAGAAAAAAAACCCCCTGCATTCTGAGGTTGCTTGGATGTATGGTAAGACCAATTCTATCTGCGAACTTGTGAAGAAAGAAAAGGAAATTCATTCCACTATTGCTGTTGCTCCCAAACTGTGGTGGTTACAGCCACAGTGAATGACAAGTGTTTAGTTAAGATGGAAAAAGCATGGTATTTGTGGGTGGAAGACATGAGCAGAAAGCATGTTCCAGTTGACAGTAATGTGTTACATGCACAGTATACGGTGCTCACTACTATCTGTGGTCTCAGGCGTCTGCTGGGGGGTTTGGAACCTATCCCTCATGGATAAGGGGGTCCTACTCTAATACTATACCAATAATATGTTGGAAGATAAGAAAAGAAAATTTTGGATTAAAAGGTCTTAAAACCCACTAAGCCTAAGTAGAACACTTCTGTAGATGTGGGTGATTTTTCCTCTTACTATGCCTAAGGGCCCAACTGTATATAGTGTGCAAATACCTATTTGCCCCAGTATTAGGATTACATGTTTTGGGAAAGGGAGCTAGTGTGAATTCATAACACTTTTTCTTGCCACAATTTCTTCAGCAAAAATTGCCCTCCCGCCATAGGGTTCAAAACACAGATGCATATGATTTTTTTTTTTAAATTTTGAAAGTGGAAGCCATTTGGAAATGGCAATTTGGAGACCTGGGAAACAGGAAGCAGGGAAAGAGTTAAGCACCAATTCCCCAACCCCTCCACCTCTATTCTCAAAAACTACTTTCACGCCAAATTGTTCTTCATCTTTTTTTTAATAAACATTCCAGCTGAATTACATATTGCCAGGCCCTGAATGCTTGTGTGCAAATTACTGTCTTTTAAATAGTGACTGTGTGATTTAATGGAACCCTTCTGTCAGGATCTGAGGGCTGCACCAAACCATGAACAGCTTCTTTGGACCTTTTCCTCCATCAATGGAAACATTCTAAATCAAGCCACATCACTTTCACCTACCTTTATAAGTGTGAGTGTGTAGGTTTAAACAACATAGCTTTAACCCCCCCCCCCCCTTTCTCCTCTTAGGAGCCTAGAGGAAAAGGTTATTTTCTGATCTATTTCCTCACCTCTGTTTTTGCTGGATCTGAGGGAGCAAAGTATCTCAGAAATATAGCAATGCATTCACTGAACTGAACCCTGCAAATAATTCTGAAAAGTCATTACAGTTTACTTATTAAGAATGAAATAAGCATGTACTGTGGATAAATCTAATTCCCAATGCTAAAAAGAAAAAAAGTTCCTTCCAGATGGACAGCTGGTAATTCTTATCGGTCAAAAGGCCTGGCACAACTGTCTTTTCCTCTCTCTCTGAGTTAAGAAAATCAGAAGTAGTGAAAGAACATGGACTGATTACAAGGTGATGACATCTGGAGCCATTCCCCCTTGAGGTAATGCCCAATAAAGGCCTCATTCACAAGCACCCAAAGCTATTAATACGATCAGAGCTGTATCTTTGTATATAGTAGTCAGACAATCCCAAAAGAAACTTTCCACAAAAGGTTAAGAATAAAAGCTTTTCCTCCTATGCAATATTTCCGTCATTTTAAGTACTAATTTTTACCATGCATAGCCAGAGACACCTCACATTTTCCCTCATGGGTGATTCCCTGAGAGGCAAATTTTTAATTAACTTTAATGTCAGGCCAAAGTCCATCTCCATAGCAGATGGGTTCTTTTCATTTGGGGAAGCTTTACTAATTAACACTGAAAAATAATTTGTGAGCTATTATTGGAACTCTGGCCTTGTCAAGAAGGCAGGCCTTTCTCAGGTTCTTCAATAACAGAGAAGTCAGTGGAAAAAAGGAAGTCAGTGTTTGCTGAGTGTGTAAAATTATCATTGTATTCCAACAGTGCAACAAAGATATGAAGACAACATCTGAGTAGGTTATTAATTAAATATGATATATTGATAAGAAGAAAATGCTGAGCAAACTATAGTAGGAGCTCCAGGTGGCACATAGGTGAGGGGGAAGGGGGGGGAGATCAAGGAACTTATTTCAAGGCAAGAGGTAAACATGGATATGGAAGGGAAAGAAGTGTCTAGATCCTCGTTCTCCTCTTGTACTTGTGTTCATTTCTTCAGCTTGATATTGGCGCTGTGCAATCCTTTTCCCAACCACACTGAGCCTGGACTTGGTTCTTCACCTTGAGCTTCTCTCCACCACAGAAAGTTCATGTTTGCATCAGAAGGAGGCAAAAGCTCCTAGTGCTCAAGTTCAGAACACAATTACGATGTTTGGAAAAATGAAAATAGAGTTGCACGGAGTAACCCATATATCTTGTCCAAAGGACATCAGCCCTTGAACCTCTGTGATATTTTAGTCCAATCAAGGTAAAGCATCTGATTCATATTAACAACTGTGACATGGCTGCCACCTTCTTGAAGTTTGATATCCATGTCACAGTGGTGACTTGTGCAACCAGGAACTCCATGTGGAGAGCAGAGCAGGAGCGGTGCTCTGACCAGTACAGCTGTCCACCGCGTTGTACCATCACAGCAGTAATACAATGGTGGGTGACATTATCATGTGACTTTCTTAGTGCAAATATTACCACAGGAAACTGACCTCACAGATTCTGCAAATGTGTAACAGTATGAATGAGTGCAAATTGCCTTGGCAATTCACAGATAGTAATTATGTCAGCAGTATTACTCTACAGGAAAATGCTGTGCATTGCAGATAGATTTAGATGGGACAAGGTATAATGAAACTAGTCTTTACATCAGGGAATAAATTCATCACTGCCATTTTCTTTCACTTAACAGAATAGATTCATATTTTACAGCTGAAGATTTAGGTATAAAATTCTGATAGTCAATTTAATCTTATTGAGATTAGTAAAACCTTTTTTTAACTGACCATTTCTGTTGAGCTAGCTACAGAGCATGGAGAAAGTTCTATTTCACTTAGAAAGAAACTTCAAGCTTTGGATTTACTTTAACAGCCCTGTTTATATGGACTGACACACAGGATTTCACATTATTGATGAGCTGTGAAATAGGAATGCACAGTGCATGCTTATTAAAAGTCAGTGACCAAAAATTGGTTATGACTCAGTTTTGTACCTCTTCCGCCAGAACTTTATACAGTACCTTTGGTGTCTTCATCTTCAATGGTGGTGTTTGTACTCTCTGAAGATTCCTAGACAAAGAACAGAAGCAAAATAAGACCCACTTCAAAGGTGTATGTTCGGGGATTTTTTTTTTTTCTTTTCAGAAAGATTCTGACCACATGGTGACTTATCACCCAGATTCTACCCCAACAGCACCAATCCCTGCAAAGGGATGAAAACCAGGTAAGTATCAGATAAAAGTACTGATCAATAACCAAGGCTCTTGTTTTGCAGCTGCAGTACTTGCCTTGTCTAATATCGTACAACCATGATTGAACAGGAAGTCTCACTATACAAATCTTGCAGAACTTGATTCATCTTGCTTACAGGAGTCTACTACACAGGTGTGCAAAGATAGATCTAGCAGGGTCACCTACAACTGCAACTATGAGGAGCAAGAGGGGCTGTGTAGGGGTGAAAGACATCATGTTGACTGTACAATCAGGAGAGGAATGCACAAATTAACAAAGAGAGGGAGCTAGGATGAGAGAGTGAGGGAGGTTGTGCAGGAGTGAAAGAGACCACAGTGACCGCATAGTAAAAAAAGAAATGTACAGTAAAACAGAGAGGGTTTCCAAGACCCACAGGGACCATCAAAGGCCAAGACACAACTCCTTCCATAAACAGCCAACGGGTACACAAATTAACATGGAGAAAGAGAGCCATTTACTCTCCAGGTTTGTCATCAAGGTAACTCTGGTAGCTGGACTAGAGCTACTAGTTCATTCCACCAGAGGTTTATTTACATGTTACACGCAATCTCAAGTGGCAAATTGACCAAGGCCACACGAGCTAACTGCCCTGTGACTGTACAGTTCCAACAGAGCCATATAACACATCCTTTTCCTTCATGGCTCCTTGGACTGATGCAGCTTGCAGGCCTCCTAAAGGAGAAGTTCCTTTGAGAACCTTTCACTAGAAATTGGAATTAGGTTCTCAGTGCTTTTGGGCTTCAACTGTCCTTCTGTGCCAGCCATTCCTATTAATAGGATCTGTAGGGGAGATGTTGCTCCAAAGAGGTTACCAGTATCCCTACTTTCCACACCTCAAAGTGATTCCCAGGAACAGGGAAGGCTGGAACATGTTGAGAGGCCCAACATTATCAGCATTGAGGAAGACAAAGACACTCACCATTAACTGAACGCTGGAACTGGACTTTCTTTTCTGGAAAAACAAGGAGAAGAGATGGGACAAGAAGAGACACAGAGTGAGAAAGAAGGAAGAGAACAGAACATGGGATGCAGTGGGCCTTGGGACACACGTTGTGATCCTTCTAGAAAGATGGAGAATAAACCTAATTCTCAACAGCAAGATTTCCGTGTCTTGGGCAAAGAAAAAGTAACTGCAATGCAAACCACTCCAATCTAACTTTCCTACACAATTAACAATTCAACCAGACCTATCCAGTTTTCAGCCATCTAATTTTGAACCCATTCATCTCTGCATCCTATCAGTCTTGATATCTTGATCAAGAAAAGCTCAGACTTGGCATCTCATTCTTGACTCAGCAGTTTTCTGATCCAAACCAAGCAATGATTTCCAAGCAGATCCATCATGTTTTGCTATCTGAATAAATATTCACTACCATGCTAAAACCGCCATACTAATTTCACATGTGAGCACAATAATACCCAAATATAGTCTTCCTTAAATGAAATGCTAGCTTTTCCAACTCTCTACAGCAATCCGACTTTGCATTATTCTGCTCATGGATTAGATGGGCACTGTACATTTTAGAGTCAGAGATGAATAAGACTAGAAAACATCCCTGTGATTCTCCAATCTGACTTTGTGAAGCAGAAAACTTGACACCTCCAAGTGTTTTTGGAACGAGTTATCACAACTTCCACACACAACTATACTAAATGTCAAACAACTCTTATTTGCTAATCTGAGCAGAGGGATCCTAACACCCTCTGTCTGAAAGGCATTGTGCAGCTATTCTGTCTTCTCTCTCTTAACAGATGATCAGTGGTAGGAGTTATGAGATGGAAAAAGGATTGAGAGTTATAAACTGAAAACACTCATGTCTAGAGACCTGCATTCAGCTGAGTAATTCCATGAATGAGGCATGATAATGGCACCAAAAAACCTGCATCTAGAAGCACCCTAAAATCTGCATCCTTGTTACACCTGAAATCCATTGCTTCTCATCCTATCCTTAATGGATTTAATCTTCAAAGGTCATGACTACACAGCATTGTATCCACATTATTGTACCCACATCCAGGTACCATAAGCCAAATCTGATCCATTTCTTTATGTGGAAATTAAAATTTGGTGTCAGAGTTGTTGCTTTCTAGCTTCCACTGTGCTCCTTGCTTTCTAGCTTTCACTGAGGAATTGAGAAAAGAGGGAGGGAGGAAGTCTAACAAAATGAAATCATGAGCAGACATTCATAGGGGCAATTCCTACCTGAAGAAAGGAACACTGATTACACTTACAATTTTCAGGAGCAGAGGGCTTGATACATATTATCTAGGCCTTGCACCAAAGGTGCTATGAAATAGTGCAAATCAGCTTCTTCCAGGCCTGATGTAAGAAGTTCATTCTGTGCATCATAGTAATCCTGAACAGTTTAGAACAGAAATCCTGGGAATAATCCAAGATGTAAAATGTCCTTTGACTCATGATTAACTTTTCTCAACACGGTGCTTTAACATACATCAGAAGAGAAGAACCTCATATCAGATACTTATTTACCACTTTAAAAATAGTTTGAAGAAGTCTTATTCTCTAGCCCCACAATTTCTTTCTTGTTTCTTCTTGATTTTTGCATGTTTCTGCCCCCTTTACACCGATTTGAAGACTTCTCATTACCATATTCTTTCTTCAACTCCAAATTTTATAACTACACCATGAGAAAATACCCTCCTTTGCTGCTAGAAAGCAGCAATTTCTGTAGTGATGAGACTTTAACCAGTGAAAACCAGATGAAGTTTGGAAAATGCAGCATTTAAATAGGCTTACCAAAGGCAGAGTAAACTCTTCCACCTTAACCACCCTATTAATTACAAACAGGTTTCAAATATATCTCAAATATAAATATATCTTTCTAATATATATATTTCATCTCTGATGAAATTAAAGGTTGTTTTCCAGAACCTGTGCTAGAAACAGCAACCAATGCCCACTCTCAATTGCTAATCCTCACTGCCTTGTTTCATCTACTAGTTACATCAAATGACATCCCCAGCTAGCCCACTAAAGCTTCTGCTCAAAAGCCAACAGAAAAAAGCGGGGTGGGGGGGATACTCTATTATAAACCTTGGACTATATAAGCTAGGCTCAGAGGCACAGTGTCCCCACTGAGAACCTAGCAAGATGGGAAGAATGAACTGAACACCATACTGGAGAGCAATTGTAGAATGATCAGACACAACATAATGTAACACCAGTCCAGGGACCTCATTAAGGTAAGACATACATACATACAGTAAAACAATGCAACACAGGGAAGTGAATTTGTAAATTTAAGACATGACACAATGTGACATGGGGCAGTGACTTCATTAATTTACAATGCAACAGGAGGTGACATCAAACAGGGCAGTGAAGGTTATTATATACCCACTGGTTAAAGGAAGGGGAAAGCTTCTTCTGTTGGTAAAATATGGAGGCATATTGGTGACATGGACTCCCATTTCCTTCTATTTTGCATGGATAGCATATGTTGGTCTCCGCAGAATGATTTATTGGTATCTACTCCATAATTAAAATGTTTGAAAAGAGTGGCACAAGTTTCTACAATCAGACTGTTACCATTTGGTCATGAATGGGGTAGTACTTCAAGAACATTGAGTTGGTTCTTTAGGACTGGCATGTTTCAAATCCCTGGCTAAACCAGTGATTTCCACCAGAAAGACACGTTAGCCATGTGGCCAAGAACAAAGCCTCAGAATCTATCATGCAACATATTTAAAACAGCCGCCAACTCTCCCATTGAAAGGAGTAGTAAAACCAAGCGAGACAAAACATGAGAATCCATTCATGAGCAAGCCAGTTTTACAATAAAGCCATATGACATATTCCATTCTTGAGATTGGAAGAACCAATGAAAGTTGGTTCTTCTGCAGAGTCTTCAAAAGGAAATGGAACTGAGATGACAGTGCCAGGACAGAGTATTGGCACTGGATGTAGACATGTGGGCAAGTCAGAGTATATCTTGCCTGGCAACCCTGTTGTCAGGATCTTCTTCAAGGTACAAGGCACAAGAAGGAGTAGCTTTCAATGGCCACCAAAACACAGCTTGAGACTCTGAAAGGGTGGCCAGACACCTCTCCAGAACACTCCAGTTCGGCTTCCAGAAAAGAAAATTATTACAATGTCTGAACAAATTCATTCAACACTATGTTAAAATGTCATAGATATTTCAGAGCTATGAGCAGGACAACTCTGAGAAAAAGGACAACAGAGGTGGGCTGGAGGGTCTTATGTCCCTGATTTTGTCCCCTCCCCACACACACACTTTTTGGTTGATGAGAGAAACCTCTACATTTTCTCATCCATCCCAAGTTTTTAGTGATTCAGAATGTTATGATACCAACATTACCAGACCAGTCTGTGGACTCAAATGAACCACAATAAACTAGCAGCAAGAACTACTCAGATGTCCTCATTGCCAATGTCCTCGTTAGTTAACAAACCAAGAGCCATCCTTCCTTTCCTCGTCCCACCTCTCTCTCTCTTCCAGACGAATAGTCTTTCGAGTCATCTTACCAGTCATCTTACTCCTTGCATGGGATTACAAATGCCATACAGCTCACTCAGACAATTCAGAAGGTATGTGTACAGCTCCCTCATGGACCTGTTGCACCTCAGCATTCACAGAGAGGAGTGGACCTTTGTTTGAAGGCCTTCCCACACCAAAATCTTCAGGAAAAGATAATCCACCAGAAGATGCATCCAAGCAGAATCCATCAGGAGCACACTCTAAGGTGAATTCTGAGATAATACGTATCCACGAAAGTACTGCTGAGAACACCAAATGCCATAAGGGGATTGTGTGATTTTGAGCTGCAGTTCTACTATTGGACTGTATCAATATGGCCTCCAAATATTTGAATGGGCTCTGAAATGACATCATGGTGCAGCAATATTAAAGCAGCCAGAGAGAGGCATAAGCTTTTCTCCCACATATGTAAAATAAATAGGCGGGATATATAGCCCTCATTCTCAAAGGTCAGGCTGCCATCTCGCTGAGTTGTCCACAACTGTCTTCTTATAGTCCTTGTTGCTGCCGTCTTTCTGGGTTATGAATTAACTGAGCAAATTGAGCATGAGTCAAGGCATCCATTATATCATCTAAGGACTGCAAGTTGCAAACTAGATAAAAGTAATTTCCTCTTCTTGTTCTCCTTCTCCTTTTTCTTCTTCTCTTCTTCCTCCTCCTCTACCTGGGCTTTGTAGAAATGCAGATAATAGGAAACATCTCTTATGATGAGAGGAGGATGAAGCAAGAGAGCCAGCAATGCAACACTTGACTGCAAAGGCCCTGGGCCACACTAGGTGCCAGCACTGCAGGACAGATCCAACCATTTCTGCCACCTGGAGGACAGGCAACCTAATAACCACAGAAACCAGGAATGGGGCTGGAGGAGGGGGGACTTACCTTCACACCATCATTCTTCTTGTTGCCACCACTTTTTCCTCCTGTGGAGAAAAAGTACCATGTCAAGAAGAACAGGGCTGGTGTCAGAATCAGCACAATGAGAACCAGCAACATGAGGGTAGTTGGATCAGTAGCAGAACACAGTAATTGAAGATCCCTAATTCAAAGCTACTGCCTCATCCGTTGAGAGCAAACTTGCTTCACAAGAATGCAGAGTTCTGGGTGAAGTCTCTCTCAGAAATCCATGAAGCTCACAAGCTGGATTACTAGGATCCTTCCACTTGAGTAAGAAAAGCCACAGCCACTTATACTCTTGTACTCCCAAGTCTTTAACGAAAGGGCCAGCAATGGAGAGAGACGGGAACTGAAGGCACATTCTCTGACAATTCTTTCTTCTCTGGAGGACTGAAGAATCTTCCAACTACATGGCTATAAGGATTCAGTCCTGCCCTAAACTGCCAGCCCTCTCTTTTCTGGGCTTGCCTGCCTTGCTTTGTGATTTTATGAACAGCTCCGCTGTCGATAAGAGCAGTGTGCTCTTGCCTGTCTGCCTTTCTCGCTCTCAGCCTCTCTCTCACTCTCTCGCTAATTTTAGCCCCCCATGCTGGTGGAGGTCATGTGCTACAATTATGACATCCTGACAGCTGCAGCCCACATTTTGACAATGATGAAAAGCAGGCACCTTCCCCTATGCCCCCCTCCCTGATCACTATCACAGACTTAGCCTTGACTCCTGGGACTAAAGCCCACTCATAACCCCTCCCTCTTCTGACTGTTGCCTTCAAATAGACTCTGAATGCTAAACATGCATGCAAACTCACACATGCACACTTGGCCCAAGTACAGCTCCTGAGCAGAAGACCCAGATAACCCAACTGTCAGGAACAATCACTGCTCTGATTACAAATCAATCAATCAATAATTCTGAATTACTCCGTTTGTGGAGGGAAAAAAACTAATAAGGGATAAATATTTGAATGTTCTGGTCTTAGTAGTGAACCAAGCTGATTAATTCTCCTCCATTTCCTCAGCCACAGTTCTTTAAAAATACAAACTTCTGAAGAATGCTATGATATATATCCACCAAGGTTTTCTAACTTTCCCAGTGATTTTTTCATGGTCTCATTTGGTTTTGTTTACTTTATTCTATAAACAAGTCTATATCACAAATTACTTATATTTGCTTTTCCCACACTTTGCAAATTTATTTTATGTTTTAAAGTTCAATCTTGCACTTCCTACTTCTTTGAAGTACTCACAAGTTTAACAGGCAAACAATACATTTGTAGTCACATCTGAGCATTGCAGATGTATGCTTCATTACATGGGCATACTGTGTTAAAGGAAGCTATAACTAATTATGGACTTGAATTAAATGGACCCCATTGTGCAGCCATCTCTAGTCCAAAATTGAAGGGCACTGGGTTAGGGAAGCCTGGGCTTGAAGACAATAACCATTGATAGACCTGCTCTAAATATATTTTACTATTCCCCTTTAAAGCCATCTAAGGCATGATCTAATATATGCTGGCTGGGATTTGTAAGTCTTTTTTCTGTCTAAACATGCATGTGATTGGGACTTAAGTCTTCCAAGACCTCATGAAGGTTCTTCCTATTTTCATCAAAACACTTATTAAAAGATCCATGCACCAAATTTAATTTCAACCAAATGTTTCCATTTATGTTCGATAGTTCTAGTTTGAAGAAAAAATCTCAGTAAATGGAAGCAATTCTTGGAAAGTCCCAGTGAAGGTCTACTTGGAACAATCCCATAAAACCTGAAGGTACCTACCTTTTAAAAATCTGCTTAAAGGAGGCTTTTTTCTGGAAAATGTCTTTTTAAACACAGACAACTCCTTATATGCTAGAAATGTACCTTCAACCAGGTTAGTTCCTATATCTGAAGCAGGTATCATTATCCTTCTTTAAAAATTCCTCTCTCCACCAACTGAAAATTTTGGGCAAAGGCCTCCAAGCTACATACCCACACAATAGCTCTGTCTACAGGGTGTACATTTAAAAAGTCATATTTTGACCTGTAGAGCTAGTGTAAAATGCTAAACCCCACCCCACCACAAAAAAAGTTACGGTTTGAGTATTTTGTTGTGTGAAGAGAAGAGAACTGACAGCTGCATGGATTCACTGAGGGCAGTACTTCCACCAATGTATGACAAGGCATTTCACAATGATTCATTGTGCTTTGTCATGACTTTGCGATCCATAAAAAATGATTACTATCTATTTATTAATAGGGCATGCTGAAAGATACAAGTGACTCCCTTAATTAAGACACCTTTCTGGTGTACACAACTAAGCCAGAATCCAGCACTTAAGCCCCTCGGAACCAATAAGCTTAAGTGCAACTCACCCTTTAAACTCTGGCCTTTTTGCTTTCAGCAGTTGCTGAATGAGGGAACGGGGGTGGGGGTTGTTGAGGGAAATCTTACTATTATTGAACAAAAGCTAAACTGCAGAAAAGAGGTTATGTCATGAGAAGTAGTAGTTGTTTCTTTTGCTTCAAAATTACAAATTCTTCCCTCTGAGAAAGAGGAATTCCTCAATCCTGCCCCTCAGAGCTGCAGAACGATTGCATTAAATCATTAAAATCTGGGGCAGTCTGGCAAGCATCACTGGAACATGACTGCAGCCCCAGCATAGATGTATTCAGTAGGTCACTTAATGGTTTGATGCATTTGTTCAAGATTGGGATTGGTTAGACTGGTAAAAATATTTCTCTCCCTGGCATGTGGAAAGGTAGATAGTTTCACTGTGTTACTGAATTATGGAATGTTCATCCAATGTAATTATTTCGATCACCCCAAACTTTTAAAAGTGTTTGTCAGGTGGTGGGAATTCCTTGTATTTTGAGAATGTATTAGCTGTTTGATAATAGTTTAGAGAGGGCATTAACACAAGAAAACTAGAGACCAGGATCCTAACCAAGTCCACTCTCGTTGCATTGTAGCTAGGAAGATTAACACACCAAGTTAAATAGAAGTGATACCAAAGTTCAGAGGTTGTAATTTTTTGGGAGGGATTGTTCTCATCTTACTCATTGCTGCCATGATACTGTGGATCTTCAACAGTAAATTGAAAGTCAGTAATGCATAGCATTTCTATCAGATCCCACTGCAGTCCCAACTTTTTGTTTTTTATTGGTTTGTCCAGTGCGGTAAGTGCAACTTGCTGTGAAACTCTTGATGGAAGAATTTCAAGGCTGAGTGCCAGTTATGACCCTTGTCTACTGAGTACCCAGTAAAAATGCAGCAGATATATTTATGCACTGGGAGTTTTTCTACACAAGGGATTTAACCCTTTGTTTTACTGAGGCTTCTTCCATTTTCATTGTGGGCGGAAAAGTGTCCTTTACACTGAGATTTTTCCTGGGATTTGTATTTCTCTTCCTTTCTATGTATTATATTAACCAACTACAAGGTGCCACTGTGATACAATAGCACTATAGCAGATTTGAGATTTCTCATGATGCTTTCTATTTTATGTATATTATGGTTTGAATTTAATATTGGACTTTTCTTGCTCAAAAAAAAAACAAAAATAGCCCCACTAAAAGGGCTGAAAAACACAAGAAAGGCTCCCAAGTATGGTGACATCCTGAAAAGGCCCTGCAAGCTTCCATGAGTGAGAGGTCAAAAGTGCACAATAAATGCTTGTATAAAGATGCTCCAGGGATACTAGTTGCAGGAGGCTGGAGGGAACTCTAATGGCATCTTCACATATGGTACTGAGTTCATCTTCTGCATGCTTTGGAAGATGCAAATGGAAAACCAACCTACATGGGCTGGAGTGTAAATAGAAAACCTTTATCTGTGTTTTTCTTGCATCCTTGTCCTGCAAGAGGAACTCTGAAGCCCTCTTAGGGTAATTTATGGAAATGCCCCATTGTAGGTCACTTATATTTTCCACCTAAAGCTAGCATCTAACAAATAAAACGCTACAAATAAATATAGACCTAGATGGAGTTCGGTCACTTACCAGAAAAATTCCGGGTTGCTAACATTGTAGTGAGGATTGCACCCTGGAGCATACAAAAGATAAAAAGAAAAGGGGGAGAACAGGACACATCACAGGACATATCAGACTCAGGCTTATCCCCCTTCCCCCATCCAAGTCTCCTTCCTCTTGAAGTCACTGGGAAATGGAGCTGGCTGGGGCTATGAAAGGGAACTATCTTTGGCACTGCTCCAGGGGTATGATGAATATAATTCAGAGATGGTATTAATAGATATAGCAAACAGTTTGCAGAAAACAAGTCATTGGATAGTGGCTCCAGAATTTTTAATTACTCTGCAAGTTTCTGAATGGTGGTGGCAGGGTTTATTATAACTACCTTAAAGAGACCCTATATCTTTTCTTGCAGTGTCCATGGGATTTCACTTTCCAGTAAACAAGCAGTTCTCATGCTCTGATGGGACCAGACCAACTGCAAGACTTCTAAGAGTTACTAAAGAGAGAGGGTGTCCTCCTGTGTCACAAGTGGAATCCCACATGCATAATCTACCCTTGAGACCTGTAGTGAAAAATAGATTGTATGGACACAGCAGCAAATATAAGGGCTCCCTGCCCAGAGCACAGTCGGTTTTCCTAGCACTGAGTTTTGTGCCTAAATGCAAGATTGCAAAATAGTACCCAAATCTTGCTGTACTTCTGAAATTTAAAAAAATACTGACATGCAGAGACAGACTCATCAGTGGCAATTTAATTTAGCATCTGTTAATAGAATCGACCACAACTACCACTATTACTACTACTATTACTACATATATCTCTCACATAGCATATTGTCCCATAGATGTCAAAGAGCAGATCGGTCTCCTCACATCCATTTTACAGATGGGAAAACTAAGGTACAGTACTGAAGGGTAATATCTCCAGAGCCATTCTCTGTAATTCAATAAAAGAACTGGTTATAGACCCATTTTCCTTGGCCCCTTAGGGCCACCCATTTTCTTACAGGAAAAGAAGGCACTTCACACATGTATAAACAGTACTTCACAGCAACTGACTCACTACTCATAGAAGAAGTTGGACATTGCCACTGGATACTGGAACTTAATTAGCATGACAGAGCTGAGCATTTACTCCTATCTATTGCACTGGCTGTGGATGGATTCAAAAATGCATTAAAAATATCTTGCAAATTCTCCATCTCTAGTCTTTTTTCTCTGTTTAGCATTTCTCACTATTTCAACTCCATGAGCTACACAGAGGCCACATAATAAGGTTATATTAACATAACTGAAACAGTAACAGATTATTGAATGAAAAGTAAACACAGATTGCCATCTGTTGCTCCACTCAGTAATCTCATTAGCCTGCAGCCCCAAAGCTGGAAATCTGCACAATGTTCACAAGTCAAAGAGGCAGGACAATAATATGTGAAGGTACCAAAAAAGGCAGGGGAGGAAGAAGTGGATGAAAGCACTGTTGGTAAGCTCCTTAACTGATACCAAATTCTCCACCACCAGCAGCTGGGTAGGCTTGCCTTGGGTACTGATCTCAGATTCATTTACGGAGAAGTGGGTTCCACTGACATGAACAGAAGCATGCGTAGGAATGTAACTTCTGTGAGTTTTGGGAGGTGATGTTAATTTGCCCTAAGATTTTAATTAAAAGATTTAGTTTAATCAGCTTTAAATTCTCGATCTCGGTTATTAGGGATTAATTGCATGGGCTTATTCAAAGAGCAGAGCCCTTGATCTACCATGAAATACTGAGCAGTTTCCCTCTAAACAGGAAACGATGGAATCATAGCAGGAGCACATTGAAACTGAAACAGGCTGTTCCCTCCAAAGAAGGGGATGCTGGCCTAGTTATACAACAGCACGATCTGGGGAGGGATGTCCATGCACTCCTTTTTCCAGCACATGATGTTTATGATCCAAAGATTTAGTGACATCTAGGAGGCCTATCCTTTCTTAGGGCAAAGACTGGCAGTTGGAAAATCAAAATCTTGGAAGACTCAAAGCGAGCATAGGGAAACACATGGAATTGGGAACAAGCCAATGATGTATGCACACTTACTAAAAATGAACCTATGATTCTGACACAAGGCATGGATTACCTTTAGCTTTCTTCTGGCATTGAACTTCTTCAGGCAATCCACAGTCTCCTGTCTGTGCATGCAAGAGGCCACAGTGGAACGGTGCTGAAAGACAGAAAGACAGTCTCCTCAGAAATTGGAAGGGGATAGAAAACAAAGAGCTCTCCCTTGTTTGTGTAACCTAGTATTGATTTACTAGCAGCATGCTTTGTTTTGCGTGCACCTAAGGTACAGTAAACTTTAATCACCTTTTGTCCCCTGCCCCACACGTTGCAACTGGAAAAAATCAGTAAAACTGCTGGGGAATTTGCATAGCCTTATGCTTTAGGTTTTACTAGGTATCCTTCTATGACCTCTTTAGTTTATGCAGCTTATGTGCAGGATAGTTACTTTATTTGTATGCACTTACAAACACGTGCCTGAACTCTGCACCATTTCTCTCTCTTAAATGTGCACTCATACTGGGCAAAGTCCCACAACACTGTGCCTCAATTCTCCACACAGCAGAAAATAAAATGTTAATAGGCTATGCAAACTAGTTTTCCTGCTTGTTCATTTGTTCCTTGTTCTGCCACACCAGAGATGCTGCAGTTAGTTCATTAGGTTGGTGGTGCCTATGCTAACCCTTCCTCCATTGATTCTCTTATGCACCAGTGGTTCCAGCTTCTGTTCTTTTCTAGGAGGAGGGACATTCAAGGGATCTGAATATGAATGTCATGCCCCTAGGGAAGACTTTGTTCAGGGACCTCAAAATACAGTTTTGTAGTTCAGCAGTCTATGGAGTCCTGGCACACACAGCTGAGTGTAGGAAAGAATCCAGTTTCCCAGGTTAGAAATGTTCTCAGGGAATAAACTGAAGATTTTTGCTTTAACAATAAAGAACTGTGCCTTAGAAAGCATCCCTGCAGAGTCCCCTTCCCCTCTCTGATTTTGTATGGAGAAAGGCTGAGATTATTAAAAAGACCTGTCAAGTACTGTACATTTTTATTCTGAGAACAGAGCAGAATTATAATACTTGATATGGAAGTAGCAAAAACAGAACTTAAACTGCATTTTGTTAGATCAAAATGACTGATGAGAAATCATGAAAATAACTTTTATTTTAAAATAGCAATTATGTATTTGGTACACCCTTGTTAAGCTAGTTTTGAATCCATTTTGACTAGCATAAAAAGTGTATAACATAAACCATAGACTTAGTAAGGATCACTACTTTTTGATCACTGTAATGTTTTCATCAAGCAAATTATACATTGTTTGCTTATAGCATTTACCTGGAATTAAATAATACACTTTAATCACTATGCAAAGAAAATAGTTTGCTCTTTGCACAAATTGCATGTGGATCTGCATGCGCTATGAAGGTATCCCTTTCCCCCACTGAGAATTCCTAATAAGCTTTAGTATTGCTTATTATCCTCAGCATTCGAGTAGTTTCCAAGAAATGTATGGTGCACTTACTGATATCCATGGGTGCTTCAGAGCTTCTGCTGCTGTGATACGTTTGGAAGGGTTGATTGTCAACATTTTATTGATGAGGTCTTTTGCTTCAGGAGTGACAGTATCCCACTCAGGTGAAGGAAACTGAAAGAGCAAGTGGGAAAAACATACATCGCAATAAACCAGAAGCACCTTTTACAACCTCCATGTGGTTTGGTCTTTTCAAGGACACAATAAAGATGTGGCTTTGAGACTGAGAAGGGACACAGGAAATCTTAGAAAAAGAGGGCTTGCTGGCTTATGAAGGATATTGTCAGACTTATACCTCAATTCTACACATGACTACTCAGAATTAAGTTCCATTCAGTGGGACTTGGTCCCAGATCAACATGTATAGAATCGCAGCCTAAATAGGTATTTTTATGTCTGACTTACTACCTAGTACCTCAGTTAGATAAAAGTGTAGCATCATACAGTCTACATTAGGATTGGGGCTACCCTGGGTGCAATTCTTGCTAAGCAGGGTCAGTCCAAGGGAGCAGATATGCCCAGATTACCACTGGGTAGTGGCCAAGTACTGTGAATGCTTTGCCAAAATCCATATAGTACTAAATTACTATCCTGCTGCAGGTTGGCCAGCTTGTTATTGAGCACATACAGCAAAAAGAAAACATCTCCTGAATAGACCTGCTACTAGGCCTACTTGGCCTATGTGCAAATACAGGGAACATGCATAGCCTTGTGCTTTGACTGCCAGGGTAGGATGCCAATGGCTACCTATTTCTTGTAGCCCATGGTCCAGAATCTTTTTGGTACTTCTGAATTCTCACTTCTGGCTTTTTAAAACTTTCTTTAAACATTTTTAGGCTCATACACAAAGCAAGAAACAGTAAGGAATCAGCACCTGGAAGGTAGAACCAGAAGAGAGCTTTACTAGTGTATAAAACCTGGGAATAATCTAGTGAATTGCTAGTTTTTGTGCAGAAACCATTTTTAGGAGCCCAAATGTTTGGACCTATCCTTTTTTGGAGCACTGCCCTTGTTTTGGCCCACAGGTGCTACCTTTTGGCCTTAAAGCTAGTAACAGAGCAACTACCTGTGGGAGCTGAGGAAGCAGGAATTCCACTAACCAAGGCTGGAATGGCACTCACAGTAGCTACAATCTCAGCCCTGATACCAGCAGGAAAGTGATGAAGGCAAATTAATTATTTGTACAAAAAGCCCTAAAGGATTTGGGATCCAGGTGGCAGAGCCTGTCCTCAAATCAACTGTTGAAAGCCACTCTGCCTCTCACTAAAGACAAATATCTCAGTCCTGATTCTAAGTAAGAAATTTATACAAAAAATAAGTCAGGGAGCCAGGAGTGCTTCAGGCCATGCTGTAATGCCTGTTAGAAAATGGCTATAGAAGAGTCAGGCTGTGCCAGCAATGGGAAAAGCCAGCTTTGGAATCTAACAACGCCAACAGAATGTTGATATCAAACAACTGGGAAAGTGTACAGCTCCCTTATTCAAGAAACCTGTGCTAATCAAATCCTCCCCCTTCCCCACCCCCCACAGATATTTGGCTTGGGTATGAATCATTTTGATTAGCAAACCACATCCGCTGCTCTTTCCTGCCCTTTCTATTTGATGGGTAACAGTGGGATCTCTCATTCCTAATCCCTTATCCTTCCTACTCCTCTTCATTCTGAATTGCCATTCCCACAGGTTCAGAGAGCTCACAGGGCCATCCAAGGAATTCCCACCAAGCTCCAGCTGCTGTGGTCCTGAAGCTGCAGACAACTTCTCCCCTCCTTGTCTGAGTCAGAATCACATCCCAGGTTTTCTTGAGCAATCTCTTCAGGTGTTGGCCTTAACTCTTATATTAACCTGCCCATGTGCTGAGGTCAGTAAGTGAGGCTCTGAAAAAAAGGGAGGTGGCAACCAAGGAGTGGGACTTTTCAGGAGTGATATTATGTACAGAACTTCCTCCGCAGAGCTGTGCTACCTATTGTGCTATCTCTTCAGAGTCAAGTAACAGCCGCTCCATTCTCTCACAGTGTTTCAAGAACAAAGGGGGCGGGGGAGGAAGTCACTTACATCATAGGCTCCAGCTTTGATCTGCTGGTATAGTCGGTGTTGATCCTCATCCCAGAAAGGAGGATAGCCAACCAGCAGAATATAGAGAATAACTCCTGTGTGTGAAAGGAAGAGGCAAGCATAATTTGTTACATATATGCTGCAGCCAAGCACAGATGGTGAAGGGGTTAGTTCACTGAGTCAGAAGTCTGGAGCAGACTGATGCTGTCAGGGAGACTAAAAACCAAGGGTGATTAGTGGAAAGCTGAATACCTTACTGCACCCAGGTACCATGCTACTGCTGTGTGAAATGGTTCCTTCTTTTCCAAAGCAGCAAGAGCTAAGTATGAGCTCTGTATACTTCTTACAATTTTTAATATTACATTGCATTTATACTCCACCTTTTTTTCCCTCCTGCAAGGAACCCAAGCAGATCACATAGCTCTGTTTTATGCTCACAACAACTCTCTAAGCTAGCTTGGGCAGAGAGTCTGCAACTGGCTCAAAGTCACCCAGTGAGCTTCATGACTGAGTGGGGACTAGACTAGATCTCCCAGGTCCCCAGTCCAATTATGCTTGCCTCTAACCACATGTCACACTGGCCCTCACTTCCAGCTGAATGGTTGAATGAATGAATAGCACCAGAATCTTCCTGAAAGAGGCCATAATCTTTATGCATGTAGAAAGTATGTATCATGGATTGCACATATAATGGCACTGTCTGAAAAAAGACACGGTGGGAATACTGTGTGGGAAAACTGCACTTGGCAGGTGGTAGGTTTGCCAGGTATGTATGCACTGGATATCACGGGCTTTGGGAGGCTGGGCTTCTCCACATGACTGGCCCAGAATGCTTAGACAGCCTGCAACATGTTCTCTACTGCTACTGCTGTATTTCTCTGCACTACTATCCTTGGGAGCCAGTGTGGGATAGTGGTGAAGAGCATGGGATCGGGACTCAGAGGATCCGGGTTCAAGTCCCCGCTCGGCCATGGAGCCAACTGGGTGACTTTGGGCCAGTCACAGACTCTCAGCCCAGCCTACCTCACAGGGTTGCTGTTGTGGGGATAAGATGGAGGAGGAGAATGATGTAAGCTGCCTTGAGCCCTTTGGAGGAAAAAGGCAGGATATAAATTGAAAAATAATAATAAAAATAATAATAAGCAACATGAGGGTTTCTCAGGACTACTTTCACCCCATCTAGGTACTGATAAAAACGAAATATATCCTCCAATGCAAAGCTGAGCAGAACCAGACTTTTCTTGTAAGGTTGCTCTTCACATACTCTGCCTGAGTGTCAGCGCAGAACCATCCTGCCCAACCATGGAGAAGTGAACAACTAAAGGCATGGGTGGTAGGAATGGTATTAACTTCATCCTAGACCAAGCCCAGTCAAACCCAGTAACCATGTGCCAGTTATGGTCAGATACATTAGGCTCGAGAGAGCAGAAATGCCCTTCTAAAAATATAAAAGATCTAAAAATACTCAAGTATACTATAACCTGCTCTACGGATTTTAATTCAACTTTTCCACTGTTTGCTCCACATGAAGAATGCTGTTATTAATTAACAGAGTAAAACTTGAATGATGTACAGAAAGAATCCAACTTTACATCTCTGATTGTTCTCCAGGAGACTTCCAGGTTCTCATTTCTGATCTGAAAGATCAGCTAAGTAGAGATCTAAAATATATTATCTGGGACACCTTTATCAGCCAGACAATATGAATGGATGTTCATTAATTTATTTATTCAAGGCGTTTAAAAATGATTTGATTAGCAACAGCTCTCAGAATGGTGAACAATTTAAAACAATCTAAAAACATAATATGCATACAATGTATCACAGGGCAGCTAACTTCATTGGGGAACAACATCCAACAATAAAGACAATAAATAGTGATATTATATAATACAAGAATAACACCAAATCACAAAATACCAATGACATATAGATAAAACAGTATACAATCCAATAGGATTATCCTTATATTATTTAAAAATTAAAATGCATGGAAAATAAAAAGGTTTTAACCTTTAAGGTTTAAGAGCCTTATCTTTCCCTAGGTCTCAAGGGAATGCTAAGGTAAATAGATTAATGAAAGAGAGGTTCTTTTATGCAATGGTAATGGGGGGATAGACTCTCAGAGTAACAAACATCCAGAAACATGGTGTTTGAGCTCCAAAATGCTCTTGTAAAACTCTGGAAATTTTGCCAAACATTAATTGACTCCTATGTCAAGAAATCGATAAAGCTTCCTGGCAGTTAAAAGCTCATTTTCCCCACTTAACATAAGGGTGAGATTTTGTTGTAAGGTTTCCAACCTCTGTTACAAAACAATTTTGCTATGGTCTTCTCTATTTCCAGAATGTATCTTTTTGTTTATGGTATGCTTAATGGGTATGGAGCCACAATGGGTATGTGGGTTTGCCACTGTGTGCCATACTGAGTTGACCAAAATGAGTTGGCTATTTTTATTATATTCTGTAGAGCTATTCAAGTCATGTATACAAGCAGGGCAAGCTTGCCCAAGGCCTTTATGATAATGTTCAAATGCTAGTACTGTATGTCCTACTTTTCCAAAACAACTCTATAGGATATAAGGGAAACTTCCTAGCAGTGAAAGAAGAAAACATATGGCCTTCCGTTTGAGAGGCATGATTTGGGATTATGAGGGTGTTTACTTCCTTTTTTATATGATACTAATACCATCCAATTGTGCACATAACTTACCAGTCCACTTAACTGTGGAACTCACAGAGCAACACTGACATAGGCCTTCATGACGTTCAACACATTTCAAAAGTAACAAAGCCCTGTGGCCACGACAGGGACTTTTAACAGTACAAAATAGGATAGGTGGATCACAGGGGCCTCCTCGTCTTTCTTCAAAGTTTCTCTTTCCTCTACAATTATTTTTGAACCCTGACCTCACTTACCGCATGCCCACAAATCCACAGCTTTTCCATAGGGGTCTTTTCGAAGCACTTCAGGAGAAAGATAGCCTGGAGTGCCTGCAAATCCTAATAAAACAAACAGTCAAAACATGCAACTAGTTACATCATTGTTCTCAAAGAAGAATGTGTGACACTACACAGTCTATTTCATTTCAGCCCGAGTGGATTCCATAGTGTTCCATTCCAGTAAGCAATAGCAGACTAAGGTGCATGTTTTTCCCTCTGATTCTGGAAATGTTTGAGCATAGTTTTTTTCAGGTCCCACTATTTGTGCAAACAGTAAATTGCATAAATTGGGTTTTATTTGTATATGTGTGTATCTTGTGGTTTGCTCAAATGAGGTCATATTTTTTAATTCCCTCCAGTCTCTTGCAAATGTGGAAGAGTACAGAATCAGCTGTCTGATAGGTATATTCTTGTCCTGTCAATTTCCTCATATGTTTCAACTATCAGTGGAAGCACTGAAGTACAGTAAATAATATGGCAAGACTACATCTGGGTTAAGTTGTTCACAGTTATGAAGAATCAGAAGCGAAAATAATAGTAAGACAAAGGAGGATCACAAATAAGGAATTCAGAATCACCGAAAACAAAACACTAATGTGAACAAAATAAGTACACCAATGTGGGGGACCATATTTCCCACTTGCGATGTGATCTTGCTATTAAGTGTTGGTGTTAATCAGTGTCATTCTTCCTTTCAAAACCTTCTCCAGCAAGTCCAGAAAGGGAAATTGTTAGCTTTTTGTGGCTCCTTCTCTGAACAATCAATGGTATTACACAAATTTTAGGAAACTGGGAATTAAATGGAGGGGAAAACTGCAAATATAGAGAAAATGAGAAGTAAATGTGGGAGAAATTTTGCAATTGTAAACAGAGAAGGAAACTGGCAAAACTCAGTTCAACACAAAAGAGAAAGGGTGACAAGTTGGAAAAATAATCCTTAACCCTTTGGTGCACTTCATTCACTTTTTTTCTTTTTGGTGTTCTTGAATTGTGCAAATGAATTCCTCTTTTGTCTTAGCATTATTTTTCCTCCACTCCTGCATAATTCTGAGCAAATTGGTGTATATGTATTCTCAACTTAATTGCCTTGCACCTTAGCTACTCTTCTTTAATGTTCCCTTTGACAGCTGAAATACAGGGAAATTGATAAGACAAGACCACACATATCTGATATATGAATCTATGTTCTTGTGCCCTTGAAAAAGACCAGGATAATTTTAAAAGAAGGCAAATTGTGCAAATTGCAAGATTCACAAACAGGTAAAAATACACACACAAATCCAATTTACTACCATTATTAAATGAAATCTACAACCATATCGACTTTCTACAAATCAAGTTGACACCATCAAGTCCTCCACGATAAAACTGGAAATATACATTGAGTTTAACCCCCAAAAGAGAATTCTTATGCATTCCCACCCTACTCCTGTCAGAGTCTGCAACTTGAAACACAAGATATTAACCATCTTTGGATTTAACACTATAATTCAATAGTAAGAAGAGATTTGTCATCTCATATTCCCACTGAGTTTGGTGTTTCTTATGCAGAGATCCAAGTTATGAAGAAATTCTGCTGTATCATTGCTGAAATTCAGACTAGTTCTATTTGAAGCCATATATATGGTACCGTTACCTACACCCAATTTTGGCTTGCCTTTAGGAAATCCAAGCTTACTAACAGATAATGAAAGGGTACAGGAAAGGTAAACTATTAACCAAAGAGGTCTACGTATGTGCTCCAGGTCTATGCCCTATGGAGCTGGCATGCATTTCTGTAGCATATGATCATTTGCTCCTTCCTCTGCCTCTGCATTTGAAGTAAATCCTGATCTGGGTTATTCTAGGACAACCAAGCTGTCTAGGAATGCATGGAAATAGGTTGCTTTTTGTTTTCTGGCTAGTTGTCTTGCTAGTTAAAAATGCGTTGCAAGAATTGTGCAGGTCATCATCCCTTGTGCTTTTAAATACATGTGTACTGAAAATTCTGCGCTATTTCCTTTTCATGAAGACTATTCCAGTTTACAGCAGTCCATGGCAAGGTGCAGCTAAGTAAAGTACAAACAGCTCATTCTTTGTCCCTCCTTCTAACATCCGTCTCTGAGAGCTCACAATGTGTAATAGATGTTCCTAGAATATGAAGAGAAAGCAGACAGGTCTTTTAATCCCCTTTAAATGGGCTAAGTGCTGCTATGCACATCGCATTCTCATAAAGATAATCTCTGCACAGAAAAAAAGAGCATATTCATGGCCAAATATATGACACAATTCCATGGAAAAAGGAGATAGTAGATTAGTGGGTACAGATTATATTCAGCATCCTAAGAAACAGTATTTATTGTTTTTTTAAATGATGGTTTTTAGGAAGCAGTCCTATTGATTGGACCCTCAATGAGTGGAAGTCCCCAGACTCTAATGCAGGTTACAAGGAATGGCTTCCCCATCCTCCCATGGTTTACTAGATGGCATTTTAGCTTATCTTAAGTGGGTGCTGCCACCAACTTCAGAGGACAAAAACTGCAGCATCCTGTGGCCTTTCAGAGAATGTCTAGCAGCCCTAGGATTGCTCCCCTTCTATTTCTCATTGCTGTATGCCATATTGATGGCTTTTTAGCAGTTAAAGCAATAGAGAAGAGTTAATCTCAGCTTTTGAAAAGAACCCTTTCTAGTCTTTCTGGCTGTAAAGATATAATTGAATGTGTGTCATCCAAGTCTCAGAAGGCAGAGAGGGAGTTGAATAAAGTCTTCAGTGAGTTCAGTGTCTAAGAAAAAACAGAATAAGTTATGCAAAATAGCAAAAATGCAAATTATACGAAAAAGAGAGAGAAGAAATCACAAAATTCAATTTGATTTTGTGCAGAATGTAGAGCTCCTGGGCACAGAACCTTTTTCTACCTACATGCCACTGATTGAACGTGGAGGTGTCAGGCAGGCCTTGGAAGAGAATCATGTTAGTAGGGCCTGTGGAGAAATTTGGCCAGAGGGAAAAACAGGTTCCTAGCTAATAGTGTCTGCTGAGGGAGCAATTTAAATGGAGAAAATGGGAAAGTATTAAATACTCTTTCCAGCACTGTTGCCCTAATCTTCAAACTAAAGGAAATCATAATGATGGTTTTCTTTCATCACTTCTAGTTCGGACCACAGAAGAAATATCTGACAGTTCCTCCAGTGGTGATGGGAGCTGTTGCATTTGGAGGGTACCAGGATGAGGTAGACTGCCGCAGGGAATGGTAAGTTACCTTATACTAAGTTACAGCATTAGTCTATCTAGGCTAGTGCTGTTTGCTTGGACTGCCAGCAGCTCCCTAAGATCTCAAGCAACTTTTTACCCAATATCCTTTTGGAAACTTCCACATGCAAAAGCATGTCCCATAGTTCAGTGGTACCAACATATGCTCTGCATGCAGAAGGTCCCAAGTTCAATCTCCAGGTAGGACTGGAAGAACTTCTGCCTGAATCTGCAGAGCTGCTGCCAATCAGTGTTGACAATACTGGACCAGATGGATCACACATCAGGCTCAGTATACGACAGCTTCCTTATGTTCCTTAAAGGGAACTCTATATTCCTACTCTATAATCCTGTGTTAGGCCTCTTCTGCAGGCAAATTACATCTGCAAAAGTGTTTATGGCTTAAAATATTATACATGGATTCCTTTAAGAACTCGTGCTTACTACTGAAATATATAATAGCTATGTAAGTTAGGATAATGTTATTAATTTCACTTTATAACAGCAAGTTATCATGAGCTTTTTAAAAAATTAGTTGTCACTGAAATGGCTAAATGAAAAAACTAAATGTCATTAACCAGGTAAAAATAACCCAAGTAGAGAGTGAACCCTGCTTAGCTAAAACAAGTTCTATCAAGGAATTGTTTTACAAGCTACTTAAATCAAGTAGCTCATCATCTAAATCAGGGTGGGAGAGTTTTCAGAACTGCAGGCTACACTGGAATAATTAGATTTAGAATGCATTATATATTTCAGTTATGCACAACCTTCACATCCTTTACATAAATGATGACAAACCACAGATGGTAGACGTGTTGAATTATTTTCAATATTGCATTTGCTCAGACCCTGTACATCTAGAGAATCTGCTGCAAGTCACCTTGCTTTTATCTATAGCATGCATTTCATTTTTTCTGCTTTGTAAAATAAAAACTAATACCTACTTCTGTTGCCTTTATTAAGGTGCTTTACCCATTTAGAAGTGCAACAAGTATGTGTTACAATATAATATAATATATAGTATAGTGTTATTTTATTAAACCAAGCAGCTGGGATATATATGCAGAATTCGATCACTCTTAGTTTCATGTCAGAATGTGCACTTGTTCTAGTTTATTTCTCAGGCTCTTCTGCCTTCTCTAAATTATTTCCCACCACAGAGATTATCAGGATTAGCTAACAGATTTATGGTATTATGTTATTCAGCAAAAATTAAAATATTTTTAAAAAATTAATGTCATCTTTGAACAAGGCTTCATTGAAGAACAAAAGGAAGCAGGTGGAATCTGTGCACAGCTATGTATACATGAAATACAAAGATCCTGAGAGATGTCACCATGATTGTTTCAGAAAAACTAAAATTATTACTAATTTTCAGGACTGGAATACTACCCATAAAACTTCGTAGAGTCTTAGTGTTAAAAACACAAATCAGATGTACGTACTTTGATATGGCTCAAGTCAGAGTGACCCGTGGTAGAAACATAAACTAGACAAGCCCATCTATCTATCTATCTATCTATCTATCTATCTATCTATCTATCTATCTATCATACCGCCCAATAGCTAAGCCAAGCCTATGGCTATATATTTCTCTTTTCTTTCTTTTCTTTTCCTTTGGCCGGAAATAAAAGATTTGAGCACAGCAGGAGAGTAGTTTTGCTTGCTTTTGTTTTGCATTCTAGCTACAAACTGTCATCACGTTCTCACTCCATCATCATGCATGCAGGCTCACTTTTCCCACCACTTATGCCAGCATTCCTCAACCTGGTGCCCTCCAGAAGTGCCAGGACATGACGGGAGTTGTACTCCAACACTTCTGCAGGGCATCAGGTCAGAGAAAACTGGTTAATTTCACAGAACGCCAAGGAGCATGCAAAGTTGATGTCTCCTGTTAAATGAGGAAAAGATAGCAATTAAAACACTTTGGACTCCCCAAGTCCGGCTTTCCCTCACTCACCAAACCAAGCCTGTTGCTCTCCTTCCACCTCAATGGCAAGGCCAAAGTCAGCTAATTTAACAGCAGCTCCCTTCAGTTTAGATGCCAGCAGAAGGTTCTCTGGCTACAGGATGAAAATATTAGAAACAAAGCAATCAATTAAACAAACAAAAAGAAAGGGAAAGTTGCAACATTCGTGAGTGACCTGGTTGTAAACAAATCTGAATGCAATAAGGGATTGGGAACCTCTACTGCATCTCTAACTATATGAATACAAGTTTCTGCTGTGCGACAGGAAATCTGCATCCCTCTATCTCTTCACAGACATTTGTTTGAGCATTGTCAGAGCAACAGTTTCACATGGTTACCCCATTAATATTCAAGCAATGTCAGTGAGTCTCAATGACAAGTTGCTTACTTGACAAAGTTAAAACAGTAACAGGCAGGAGGATGCATGGAGGAATGCACAGTGAGCTGGTTTATTTCAGCAAAACTGACATTTTGAAGAAGGAGGGAATTGTGGGCATCAAGGTACAACAAAGCAAATTATGCATATGATGGAACTGGAGGAAAAGAAAAGTTAAGACACCACATTATTATCAACACATTGCATTTATATCTTGCCTTTCTTCCTCTTGTGAGGAACCAAAGGCAATTTATATGGACCTCTTCTACTCCATTTTATCCTCACAATAACCCCATGAGCTAGTTAGGCTAAGAGTAAGTGATTGGCCCGAAGTCACCCAGTGAGCTTCATGGCTCCCAAGAGGGGGGTAGAACCCAGAACACCCCAGTCTCCCATCCAACACTAAGCACCAGATCACACTGGCTCTCTCTTAGGGACACAGGCACACATCCACTGTGGGGCAGATAAGCTACATGGCAGGGAGATTAGCATAATCATCCATAGTGGCATGGCTATAACAGCCCTTGAGGTCAGAGCGGCTTGCTATGCACAGCAGCAAGCCACACCACCAAGTGCAGAAAACATGACACAAGCTGCACTGCCAAGGGAAATTATGCTATTCCCCCGCCATGCAACTGGCATGCATAGAATGGTCATTAGCATGGCTTATTAAACATCCTGTGATTCTTTGAAGCAGGTCAAAGGGTGTGAAGACTAGTACATTTAACTTTACACAACTCCATTGACCAAAGGGGAAGAAATAATGCTGTTAGTGAGCTACCACATATGGAAGTGTGTAATGCTTTGCAGCTCACAAAATGGAAAATCTTTCACTTCCGGCTCAAATAGGAAGCAGAATTAGCAGCTGGTAGTTGCAAGCTAAAATTCCTATGGTGAGGTTTTCATGGGGTGATTTTGCTGTATGCTGGGTCTTCAATGCATTCTTGCAACAAATCAAAAGGACTCAAATGTATATAATGACAAATGCTTACAACCTGCCCAGCCCCTAAACCCTTCTGCACAGTGGGAATGGAATGCCCATGTACCTTCCACACACAAGAAACCCTGAGCCATATTGGAAGCTGTATAAGTGGAAAGAAGACAATTTTCTTATTAAGTAATTAATAAATAAAAATAAGAAAATTTGTAAGCATAAAGTTGTAACTAGAAGCTTTTACAAACAGCTTTTATTAAGATGAAAATTCATTGCAAGGGTCTTCTTGGTGAGATCAGAACATTCTTTCCTTCAGTCAAAGTTACAGTTTTCCAAGTACTGTTTCTTTACTGGAGCAAGGACAATTCAGCTGTCAAAAATCAAGAAAACTGTTCAGTTATCAAAAGTCTGCCAAGCACATCATGTCTAATTCCCTTGACGCATATCCAGAAAAGGGTATATTCTCTTTCTCAAGATGTCCTTGGCATATTGCTCTCCTCAAGCTTGTTAATTCATGAAGGGTGAGGGGTGAGAAGCTTAAGTGCATAGAAATATCACATGTCAGCTCTTGCATGCTTTGGGTTATTTGTTCAGCTAGAGCTTGTAAGGCTTCGGGGAATCTACAGAGGCTAGGGAAAGGCTTCACATTTACAGCAATTGGTGGCCTCACAAGTTTTGTTCTAACTAGTTCCTATCTATAAGTTTATCTGCTTGGGATGCACAAATCTTAATTTTGGTTTAGCATTCTTTCAATCTTCAGTTTGAGAATTTATCTAGTTTTAAGGTTTATTTGTCCTTAACTCTGAGAAATTTGTTTTAAACGTTTATATGAAAATTTGTTTGCATTTCATGCCCATTTCCCCTAAGACATACAGTCTTGTATACATTTGTGCCTAATATACATGTTTTATTTGCAAGCAATTTCCCAAATATTATGTATTATAATGTTATTTCTCCTATTTATACACATTTTATTGCAGAACTCCACTGCAAAATTTAGAGAAGTGCACATTTCAAAGCATAACTGAGTTTTCTTGATGGAAGGCTGAGTCTAAATTACTGAATGAATTTCTCCCCCATCCCAATTGCCACTGGTGTGTTCTAACTTGGTAATAAATGATCTGAAGTTAGGAGTGCGTACTGAAGTGCCCAGGACCAAAATGCAAATTTATATGCAGTGCACTGGGAATTCAAATGCAGCAGATTATATTTATTTCTGCAATTAGCCGTCACGTTGTGGAACATCATGTAACTGGACTTTACTTACTGCACTTGGGTTTGGTTACTGAAGTTCAAAGGCAGTTATGAAAAACAGAACAGAGAACTGAAGGAGAAAGGAGTCTGATGTCTTTGTGTGTGGTGTTTTATTATTTTTGGGAACAACCTTATGTGTGACTAGAGGCAAGCAAAGCCTACAACTCCCAGCATATCCGTCCAGCTGCTAGCTAGGGCATACTGGGAGATGTAGGATTGTTTTGTTTTTGTCTAAACATGCATGGGGTTGCAACTTGTCCTAGAAAGAAGGTGAATAGCCATTCCTGCTACTTATAAGAAAATAAACACACTGTTATTCATTCGGTTTGGTTTAATGGAGATCAATACCCATAAGAATTGGAGCTAGCAGTATATACAACAATAACAGAGTTGCCCTGGCAACACTAGGAAAATTCCTCAAGTGCTAGCAGTGGTCAGTAATGCCAACATTATACCTCTCACTCCTACAACTTCCTTGAGCACTATTTTCTTGGTGGAAGGCTGAGTATAAATTGGTTGAATGGATTAACAAGCAAATCCATATATGCAGGGTGTGGTGTCGCACCTGTTATCTAATTATATAACATTTGTGGGGAGAGGAATCAAGCCCACAGATGATCTGAACAGGGAGTAACTAACAAGGAAAGAAAATTTGGGACTGTGGGGGGTACCTAAATGAAAATATTGACCTAGCATGCAGTAACTGTGACACAAACAATTTTCATGATAGGGGTAGTAGGAAAGGAATCAAAGTTAAATTTGTTGCTGTTGCACTCTTCTTATGCAGATCAGTGGTGCTACTACATGTTGGATATTAAGTATAGCATTGACCACTACATCTCAACATGGATACTGGGAAAAGATACAGAAAAGGAAACCAAATGATCAACACTTCAGAACAACTCCCTGATGAAGGAAGGTTTCAATATATGGGGCTGTTTAGTTTAAATGAGGGAAAACAGTAGAAGATATGTGTGGCAGGGTTGGTAGGGGTGCATACAATTATGCACATTATAGAAAAAGAGGACAGTGGGACATTTTTCTTTGACTCTCATAATATTAAAACCTGGCATGGCATCCAATGAAGCTGACTGGCAGGAGATTCAGGTCAGCTATAAAGGTGGATAAGACAAATCCACAGAGTGTAAGGCTATCAATGGCTACTAGTCATGATGGCTCTATATTAGCTCCAGTTTCAGAGGCTGCATGCCTCTCATTATCAGTTGCTGGGGAATAAGAGTAGGACATGGCATTTGCCCTCAGGTCATGTTTGCAGGCTTCTCGAGACTCATCAGGCTGGCCAAGGTGGGAAGCAGAATATCATACTAAATCTACCTTTTGATGGATCCAGCTGGGTTCTTAATATTCTTATGCATCATATTGTTTTCTTCGGGTCCCTTAACTAAAGCATTATCACTCACATGTAGCGATGTGCAAATCAGTAACACTGAAGCCTGCCAAAGCTCTTCAAATTCCAGTGCAAAGCTTGTTCCAGCTCAAGTCTCTATCAGATCATAAGCTTTTCTTTTTTCTTTTTGCACTTAAATCTGTCTATACTTTTTCAAATCAATTGTGCACATCTCTCAAACATTTGCAGTTTTCTCACATTAATTAAAATGCATTTATGCACACATTTTAATGCACATGTTTCAATTTTATACAAGGTGACAAATGTATTTTTTTCTTTTTCTTCTTGGTCCATGAATCACACTGCAAGTTCAGAAATGTACTGACTTCAACAAAGACAGCATTCAAGTTCAGATTTGGTCTAGAAGAACATGTGAACTGGGTGAATCCTGATCAAATCTTTACAGAAACAAATGCCTCATGTATCCCTACTCACATGGATTTTGCAAGACCACGTGAAGACCATATTTCTAGGCAATACATTTCAGTGGTGTGTTAAGCAGTATTTCATTATGTGGGCGAAATATAAAGAGAGAGATGTATTCTGGGGGTGGCAAAAGGAGTACAGTGACAGAAATATAGTCTATGCTTCTTAAAATATTTGACAAGCAGAAGAATCACTCATTCATTTTCTGGGGGTGGGGTAGGGTGGTTTCTCTGTGTGCAGGATTACAAGCCTTCCTGTAGGTTGCGGGTTTAGATGATGGACAGTTCCTGTTTTTCTCACAAGGTAATTGCATGAAGCATTGCATCCTACCCAATGACTTGTATTGTATGATGTGCCAAAAGCCAGATAAGCTCACCCCTCTACCTCTGCTTAACCAGAACAAAGGCACTGCAGAGACAGAGCATTTAGAGGGACACACATGAAAAACCATTCAGGACTCCCTGCATGAGTGGTCTCTACTTCTTGCTACACAGAAAAGTGTTTTGGGGTGATTTTGTGATATTGGAAACCAATTACTCCATGACAAATGGGCAGAGAAGGCCTAATCATGTTTACTATCCAGAAGTAATTGCCACTAGTTCAATAGCACTCACTTACCATTAAGGTTACAAGGCTTAACAGGAAGTAGAACCCATTGAGAATTGCTGGGAATTACTTCCGAATAAACATATTTAGGATTGCTTTGTAAGAGCTTTTCTAAATGAGGCTAGTAATTTGCTGCTTTTGGGTTTTGTTGCAGAATTAAGATTTAAGCACTCTGCAAGGACTGCTTTCCTGCTGCAGAACTTCTAGGTGGCACTGTGGTATAGCAACGACCCAAGAGGAAATTGTGCTTTCTTTCTCTTTCCAGTTATGCTGCATCTTCCTTGCACAAAAAAGCAAACAAACAAAAACTACACCACACTGAAAGTGTTAGTTGGCAAAAATGGAGGGTCATCACATTATCTAAAGAACTGGTAACAACCATCAGTACAGAATGGTACACACATAATAAATACCTTGTGTAGAAAGGTCCCAACTATGCTTCAGAGTAAAGCCAAAGATCATCCCCCTTTTTAACCCATGGCAGTTGTTTCAATGGCAAAAAGGCAGCAACTGAACGGAAGCTTTTTCCATATCAAGAACTACTACTTTCAGATACTGGAAAATCAGCTCACAGTAGAGAGTAGAGCACAGGCCAGATATTCTTCCATGGGGAATTGCCTGACTTCCAGATCCCATTTAGTAACTATGCCATCAATAAATCTATTGCAGAGAGCTATACCTGAGTTACACTACTTCAGCAAGCAACAAGGGAGCAGCTGGCTGGCTCAGTCATCCAAAGCTAAGCAGCAAGATGGACCACTGGTGACAGCCCACATTGATTCCCAGGTTCAAGTTACTTTTGTGGCTTTTTGAGCCACACAACAGGCTGCGACTGCTCTGAGTCCTCCTAGTTGTGCCCAAAGGAGAAGGATGCTTCAAGGGGGAGGTTCCAGATAGCTGGGTTTTGCCCATATGTGCACCAAACTACCAATGCACATGGTGCCCATTTGACACATCAGATAGCTTTCTATGTTAGCTTTTCCATAGTGCATGCCAGGCACAGTGAATACTCAAACCTATGAAGGGACCATAACAATATACATAATAAAATAAACAATATTAAATTGCCAAATATAAAATCACAACAGTCAGACACAAAAACACTGCAGTGAAAATCTGGCAATCTGCATTCTTATACCAACAAAAGATACAATAAAAGGTTCAATATCACTAAGATGTAATAAATATTGTACAAATATTTACAATTATCTTTAGAATTAAAATAATGGGTAAATCAAAAGGTCTTTGCCTGGTGCTGAAAAGAATAGAGAGACTGTGCCAGGTGCACCTCACTGGGGAGCTGGTTCCATAATTGGGGTGCCACTACCAAGAAGGCCCTTCTCCTTGTCGTCACCCTCCTTATTTCCTTCAGAGGGTGCTCTCTAAGAAGGACCTCTGATGATGATCTAAGGGCCTGAATAGACACAGATGGGAAGGGGTGCTCCTTTAGATAACCTTGCTCCAAGTCATTCAGGGCTTTAATTATTATACTTTGACTTGGGCCCTGATTTCGGCTGGTAGTGAATGGAGATGATAGAGAACTGGCATTATATGCTCATATTGGCCAGTCCTTGTCAGCAGCCTTGCCACCCCATTCTGGACCAAATGAAGTTTCCAGACTATCTTCAAAGGTACCTCAACATAAAGAGCATTGCAATAAGTGCATTATGTTCTAATAACGAGAGGTTACTAGAACATAAATAACTGTTGCAAGCTTCTGCCTGTCCAGATAGGGTTATAGCTGGAAATTCAGCCTCAGCTGGTAAAAGGTGCTCCTAGCCACTGAATCCACATGGAATTCCAGCAATAATTCAGGGTCCAGGAGCACCTACAAACTAAAAACCTTATCCTTTAGGGAAAGTGCAACCCCATCCAGGACAGGTATGATGTCACCCATCCAGACAAAGGATCCACCTACCAATAGTACTTCCATCTTATCTGAATTAAGCCTCAGTTTATTGGTCCTCATCCAATCCATTATCAAGCCCAAACAATGATTCAGAACATACACTGCCTCAGCAGTATGTCATCGGCATACTGATGACATCTCAGCCCACACCTCCGGATAACCCCTCCCAATGGTTTCATGTACATGCTAAACGGCCCTGCCAAACTCCATGGCATAAATGCCTTGTCACAGAGCAATAATCCCCCAGCACCGCCTTCTGAAATTGGCTGGACAAGTAGGAGTGGACTCACTGCAAAGTAGTTTCTTCAGCTTCCAACCCAGCCTGCCTCTCCAGAGGGATCCCATGTTCAATGGTACTGAAAGCTGCTGAACCAATAGGGTCCAGAAGAACCAATAGGTTTGCACTCCCCCTGTCTTTGTCCTGGCAAAGATCATTCCATAGAGCAACCAAAGCAATATCTGTTCTGAACCCAGATTAGATCATGTTCATCATGGGTCTCCCAATCTTGCTGCAGGTAATTTAACTAGGACACTTAAATCCTTTCATTTCTTTTACCTTTAAATCTCGGTGTACTACACCCATCTGGTGGCAATGTAAGACAGCTTCCAGGATCTGCTGAATACAGTGGCTAAGGAGAAGAAACATGGTCACATTAGCCCACATTACAGGAGATCACTTGAGCTAGTGCTACACAGCATTCCCCATTTTGCATTTCTGTTCTTCCTTAACTTCCTAACTCCCCATTTGACTTTGATACTTACACCCACATGGAAGGGTCCAGTGGCTTTCTCTATGCAGTCTGGTTAATTTACAGGATGGGAAATGAAATAACAACCCTAATCTGATTGGCACTGAAACTCTACTGGGGAGTTATTGGAATAATTGCGGCCCCTTCCTGTGAGAGAACACATCCAGGCCCTTTATGAGTGTGCATGATCACTGAAGGTAATGAGCAGCAACAAGCTGATCCGGTTTTCATAACAATGACAGTAGAGAGGATGGCAAAAGCATAACCACTTTTCTCATGTTAGTAGGTCTCACCATAACAGCTTGATGAGGCATACACATCATGTTGCAAGTGTGAAGAAAAAGAAAATGAAGGCCCAGGTGCCTGAACAGCTGTCTACAAATGAAATTACTTTGTTTACATTTTTGGTAGAGGCTAACAAAGGAATAGGTTATAAAGTTCTGGGCTAACAGGAAAATTAATAAAAGCTGTTTGCTAAGAAGCTAATTAAGCTGATTATCTAGTCCTTGGTGTTCTTCATCCAGGATGGAGCCTTTTATGCATGCTTACTCAAGCAAGTCTGAATGAATTCAGTCCAACTGAATTTACTTTCAAGGTAACATGTATAGAATTGGGCTGTGCATTTTGAATGTGATGCGAGACAGTCTTGATTTCCCTGATCTGCAAACTCTCAAGCAACGTATCAATGCTCAAATTAAAATCTGGCAAATAAGTTTGCTTTGAAAATTCAGAGACAAACTCAGTACCATAAAAATGAAATCAATGTGTACATGCCTCAATAGAATAGTAAATCCACCATATCTGATAGAGGATAGCTTTATTATGTAAATCTGGGATAGGCTGATTTTAGTCTTATGAAGTCCACTTTTTTCCCCTGGGTATAGAGGAGCCCAGTACAAAATGGTTGCTCAGGAAGAAAGACATACAAAATTCCTGAGCACATGGGCAGAATGTGTTTTGCATACTAGAACTGAAGCTCATATGAAAATCCTTCCCTATTTCCCCCCAAGCTTTCTTAATTTTAGCAGCTTAATTTAAGAGGGAAAGGATTTTACTTTGACTAAAGTCAGATCACTGGCGTTGGAAATCCATGTTCATCTACTGCAAATCTCCCAGAGATCTATCAGTAGTTCCCATCTAGTTTTTGCCTGTCCGTTATAAATAACGGTATTTACTATATTTATATCCCAAAGAACCCAAAGAGGCTTATATAGTCCTCTTACTCTACACTGTAGCCTGACAACAACCCTATAAGGTAGGTTAGGCTGAGAGTTTGTGACTGATCTAAAGTCATCCAGTAAGCCTTGTGACCAAGTGGGGACGCCAACCACTACGCCACACAGGCACTCCTGAATGGATTTCAAGTCTAGAGTTACACTACATCTGAGATTCTGCATACTTTAGAAACAAAAACTAAACAAAATTGCCTGGTACTAAGAGCTCATGGCAGATAAGGAATTCTAGGAGAGGAAGCAAGGGAATCCAACAGAGAAATGGAGTAATACAAAACTGATCAGTGGCATAGTCAGCAGCTTCTCATTCCTGTTTTCTGTCAGTCTCAGGGATTAAACTTTGCCCCCCACCCCACTTGCCACTTTGTTAGCTTTGCATACTTACCTGGCATCTGCTTCACTATAGTATTCTCTAGCAACAATGTCCTCAAACAACTCCCCACCTGTGACCCTGTCAAAAAACGAAAGAAGAAATGGAAGTTCCAGTTCTAGTACTATCATCCTGATACCTAGGGAGTCACCTCTGCTCTGAAAGGGCTACATGCACAATGAGCCACCAATGCGGATGCCAGTATTCTGTTGTTGTGGTATGGTGTTATACAAGTGCAGGTGATCTGATTCAATAACCAGTCTGCTATGTCCCCTTTCTCTCCTATTCTGATTAATAGCTGATATGGTGCAGTTGTACTGCTTCAGTTGCACGGCCATGAGTTGCTGCAACAGTACAAAACTTTAGCTTGGTCCATATCCTATCTGATGTTTTGACTCACACAACAGATGGTAGGACGGGGTGTCTGGCAGACATGACAAAGGAGACAATGGCAAAGTTTCATTGTCATCTTGGAATTTTGGACTATATGGAACATAATCCAAGCATGCAAAGCACACATCTCTCTAGTGAATTTGCCAACCTCAGTAGTTCCTTGCCAGTTTAACCACATGCCTTCTTGGAATTCTAGTGCCACATTTGCCAGATAACAAGAAAGTAAGCAAGCTAGCAAGCTAGCTAGCAGGGGCCGGGAAGGAATAGGTTGGAATGAGAGATTTATTAGTGCCTTTGATGCCAAATTCCTTTGACTTAAAGTGGCAACAAAAGACAAAGTGCAGTACCAGGCAGGATTTCTTAAAGGATCTAGAGAACAGTGGGGGAGCAGCTGGTCCTCAAGGGACTTCACATTAAATATGCCAACTGCTTCTCTAAGAAGCCTGAAGGACTGATCTGCATAAAAAGCAATGCCAATTCTGTTAAAACTGGATGCTGCAAAAAGTTCTGTAGGGTTCTTCCAAATAAATCCTTTATAGTGGAATCACACTGATCATTCACAGAATTTGAGTGGCCCAGATGTCATTGTAATTTTTTTCTTATTAAAAAGACTGGATTAAAGAGGAAAAGATGGAACAGCTGCATAATGCCTTGTGATTGATAAAACCAGTAACCCTCCATCCAGAAGCACCCATAAAATCTAAGCCACACAGCTGCTGCTTTGGGCACAAGAGCTGAATGCAAGATACATAATATTGGTATTGAACAATGATCTGCATCATCACAAGGTGGTAAGAGAAGGCAGTTTTTAAGGAAGCTGAAGGTGGTTTGGAGAGCTACTATTGTCCATGTTGTGCACCAGGAGTTTGAACTCTCAACACCAGAGCCAGATTCCACCTACACAGAAGGTCTTGGGAGTCACATTTCAGTGGCAGCTGGAGGGAAAGGGGAAGGGCACAAAGCTGTTACTGCCTGTAACTAAACCCTAGAAGCTTTTCAACCTTTTAGAATGGAGAAAAAAATGAAAAAAGCCAGGAAACCACCAAACAATAGGTGCTTAAAGAAAGGGGATAGAGCTGGGGAAAGGAGGAGCCTCAGAGCCCTGGATGGGCATCCCAAGAGAGCTGCGTTTGGCCCTTGTGCCTGAGGTTCTGCACTTCTAGTGTAGTTATTGCTGTGTCCTTTGGTGGCTTCTGGCCAAATGGGTTTTGCAGGTTTTTGAAACACCACAAAATGACTGTTTGCCTCAAGATGGTAGCAGGACAGGTAAAAAAATGTACATATACCCTCTGTGAAACAGCTGTTCCACCAAACCACATCCAGCTTTCAAGGGAAAACATTATATCATATCATTCTGGACACAGAGAAATAGGTGATGGCATGTGTGAGTATCATGAAAGACAGAAAAATGGTGTCCCACTGGGGATTTAGAGAATGTTCCAACATGCATAGGAGGATTTCTAAATTGTCCACCATTACTTACAGGTCAAATATCAGATAGTGGTGTGCCTCCTCTGATATGCTATCATGAAGCCTTACTGCAAAAACAAAACGGATAAAGTTACCAGCCAAAATAAACCTCTCATTCAGAAGCAAATGGACTGATCTTTCACCTCTGTTACAAGAGTTGAAAGAAATACTTCATTTGTGCAATACAGCACTCAAGTGGCAGAACACGAAGTGAAACTACATACAGTTTCATCTATAGATACCCCTTTCTCATTTATGCCACCTCTATAATGCAGCCAAGTGTTGAAATGAATATACATTTCCACTTCACAGACCACACAGTATAATGACCACACAGAGACCTTTACAGACCTTAACAAAAATCGCAGTAATTTCACAGACAGACTACCGGCTGTCAAGTTCACAAAAGGAACAGTTTGGATGTCACATGGAAGAAGGGAGAAAGATAAGTCATAGAAATTAAATGAAAGAATGTAGACTCAGGGCCAATTCATAGGACCCATTGTACGTGTACCCACATGTGGGCTGAATAGATTTGCAATGCAGCTGAGAATGTGGTAAAGTGCTAATTTGTTTGTTTTGCTAGTGTCCAAATCCCTTGTCAGCCTTGTAGAGATGAGAAAAGTACATTTCTTCCCACTCAGCTCATTGATCTGAGAATCTGAGCATATGAAGAAGTGATCAGGCAGCTTCACCAAGGCCTCCACTGCAGTGTAAATCTACCAATCCACACAGCTCATCCACGTTACACCATACTAGGAAACAAGAGAAATCCATCAGGCTTATTTCCATTTGGAGACATTTAGCAACAGGGAGAAGACTGAGTATTATGTCGAGAAACCCCTCAAGAAACAAACTACAAAAGGGTCTATCAGAGCTGTTCAAATTTGTTTGCCACATATCTGGACTAGGTGATCCAAAAAATTATTTCTACTGTTCAGAATTCTGTGGTTCATCCAATAGATGCCTCAGCTCAAGCACCAGCAACCTCTGTAGAGGTTTTTCTACCTTATCCAAAAGTTTTACATGAATATCATCATTTCCCAAATATTACACCTTCTAAGGCAGTCCTGCTAAGGCAGCATTCTAAGAGGCAGGATTTCTTGGCTTGGTATACCCTGTGACCTTCCTTCCTCCTCAGAAGTGCCAGATATCAAATTATCCTGGCACCCTCCAAGGATAGCTTCCATATCTAAGGGAACACTCCTGTTTTACCAGCCACAACTCGAGGCAAAAGGCCAAAGTGGGATAAGAGACATGCCGTGACAGCCTCAACATTCTGTTCCTGAGAAATTACAACGTGGAGGTTAACAGGCAGTAACTTCCATATGTTGGAGGAACTGTAAGATTTTCTACGTAAGCCTCTGTGCATCTTTATGAATTGCATAGAAAGGAAAGGTTCAGATCTAGCTCTTCCCATTACTGAAACACAGTGATGAAAAATAAAATAGCCCAAAGAGATTATATTGACAGGAAGTATTACAATTCATTTCTCTAGAGATGAAATTGACTGAAGTGATTATAATGATTTACAATAAACAGTTTTCATTAGTGCATTTGGATTTAACTGCTGGACATTTAAGTATCTCATTTTTTTGGATATCACAAGACCATTTACATAAACATGATATATATCATTTAACTCATGCATATCTAAATACTACAATCTAATCTAATCTCAATATATTCTAGAAATTTTTGATAGTTCTGAAGTGTGTGTGTGCATTCATTCTACAAATGGGAAAAAACCTAATGTAAAAACATTATGTCTTTATGAGAAACCTGGGTGCTGCAGTATCAGCTACTGAAATTTTAATCACGGTTTCAGCATAGCCTTTGGGAAATAGCCAATTCTTAGCTGCTCCCTGTTATCACTAAAAAATAGGTTGTGCTAAAACAAGATTTCCAAGTGTAAGAAGAATCTAACAGTTGTGAAAAAGAAAACTGGAAGGACACTAAAGAAAGCCTGAAAAATGAAAATATGATTGTCTGATCACCGAGGAAAATACTAACAAAAAGGTGATTGTGAAAATCAGAATTTAGGAAACAATGGATTCAGTTAATTTACATGCAAGTCATCACTGATTTTAAGGTCAGAATCTATTTACTTCCCATGTTGATAAATGCCTTTAATATTTCACCAGACCATCACTTCATCACTTAAAAATAATTAAAAGGCTAGAATAAAGAAAATACCAGTATTGTATAATTCATGCAAATATTCCAAATCAAAAGTCACATTCTCAACTCAGTAATATTTTTGCACATTAAACATTTATCATCTTCAAGGTAAATGAAACATACCAGGATCCTCTGATAATTCTTTCAAAGGATCAATAAACAGATAACCAACCAGACCAGTTATGACTGATGTACAAATTTCTGCATATAATCAAAGAAACTCACTAGCTTAAAAATATTTCACCAGCTTAAAACAAGTTTGTGTTCCATTTTGCCTCCAAAGAACAATTTTTGTGACTTCCATCATCTCACCACTGAAGAGAACTCCTTGGGACTCATATTATTTAACTCAAGGTCAGAGTAGGCACGGACTTTCCAGATTGCTTAGAAGCCCTAAGGGCAACCTAAGGGAAAAAAATTCTTCTGGAGGAGTTAGGCATATCGAGGGAAAATGCAACTATTTGTTAAAGCCACCAGAAGCCATAGTAGTGCAAAGAACCATACTTCATTCTATGGGTCCCCTGACTTTCTCTTCACTATGGCTCACGATGGTTTACATGAACACAGAAAGCGCTGATGCAGGTTTTAGAGGGAAATTCCTGTTATAGTACAATAGCAAAGAAAGTAATTTCCCTATTCAAGTTCCCTAGAAATTTCCCTATTCAAATCTGATTCAGTCATGAACTCATGATGTGATCTGAAGTAAGCTGCCCTACCTTGCTCTTGGCTCCTTACTTTTATATATATATGAAAGTAAAGTGTGTGTGTGTGTGTGTGTGTGTGTGTATGGCTGTAGTGCCCATCTGTCAAGAGAATGGCCACCAGCTCTTCCTCTGCTGCACCCTAAAATCTGCTTTGGGGTGTTCAGGAACCCTCCAGAGCGGACTTAAATGAGTACTTGGGGAAGGGGATTGCATGGTAGAGCAGAAGAACAGGACATTCTGCTGGATCACAACTATTCTGATTTAATAAAATACAACAGTGCCATACAGCATGTTTGTGTGATAATACATTCATATATGATATGTTAGATGAACAGCATTTTGTATCCTGAAGTCCAGTTCTTCACAAATCTCTTAAATATTTTGCCTCCCTTCTTTCATCCATTTATAAATCATAAATGTTGCTATTGTGGCCTATTTATTTATGCATTTTTATTCCTGTTTGTCATGTTTTCTACATGACTTTTTCCAATAGCACCAGCATGCAGTTAAGCTATATATGAAACTAATCTGCCTAGCTATAGAAAGATATATCCGTACATGCCATTAAAATCTAGACATAAAATATAACCCAGCTGAGGGCCACCCCTCCCATAATGGAATCAGGGCATAATCTTATCCATGTTTAGATAGAAAAAAGTCCCACAGCTCCCAGAGTTCCCAGGGCAACATGGCTGGTTGGGGAATGCAGGCAACTGTAAGATTTTCTGCTGTCTAAACCTGCTTAGTATAGGCAGGTTGCTGTCATTCTTCAAGCAGTCATATCCACACAGGCACAGAGTCCATATGCACAGAGACCACGAAGAGGAAATGAGAGTTTTCTGTCTTATTTTCAATAATCCACTGCCCTGAACTACCACAAGAACAGTACTGGTAGCATAAGAGTAGTAAATTGGTTGAGAAAATGAAATGCACTGATGTTGTCATTTTAAATTTTCATCTTTTGCATGCTTTGGAGGCAAGGCTATAGGGTGGGGTGGCAACACTACACCTCTACTTACTACATTTTTAAGCATAATAAATAGATCAAAACAGTTTCAGCCTCTGAATCAAGTAATCCCTTTTCTCCAAATGCTAAGGAAAAGGATAAGATAGAACAGCACTGAGAAGTTGTTTCTTTCTACCATTTAGAGTCACAGGTGCAGTTAGACAACTTTAAACTCTGGATGTAATAATCTAACAAAGGACACCTCAGTCCTTGCAGTTCTCCTGTTCATTACCTCCCTGATGATACTGCACTGGAAAGCCCTCCTGCTTATTCTTAGTGACACCCCAGACCCTCCTCTCAAAGTTCTTTCCCAACTGTTGAGTAATGGCACTCCTACTAAATGATCTTTCAGACTAGATAGAGATAATACAGTTTTAGAGACAGGCTCAGGCCCTATCCATGTTCTTGGCTCGGGAAGACCTCAAATACCATTTTGCTCTTCAAATCATTGATTCATCTTTTCCACTTTAATTCTAGCCTGCAGCATTTTGGATCATTCCAGATCATCAGTAGATAATTATCCTGTTCATGTTGCTTTCTTAGGGAACTGTACCTCTGAGTTTCCAGGCAGCAGTGAACTGTGGGGATGTGAAGGGAGGAGAAATTGGCTTTCTGGTTATGAATAGCAGCCAGATTGGTTTCACTCAGTAACTTGCTCTGTTAACGCAATCCTGACAGTCCTAATGGAGTGTATAGCTCAAATGCATATCTCTGAAGAAGGATACTTGATGTACACTTGACAAATGATTAGGGGCAAAGCGCAGGTCCTGTTCGTGTGCATTTAACAGCAGCTTAATTTTCAAAAGTCAGCAGTGGATGCCTGTTCAGTGTACAGGTCCATGTGAGAATGTTTAGAACTCCATGTTATTAAAAAAAGAAAAGAATTTCATCAGCAGATTTACAATTATTAGAGATGAAAACCATTATAATGCACTATATGACTGAAAAAACGGGATTCCAAAATGGAAGAGAAACAGGTTTAAGACAAATGTAAAAGAGAGCATATTTATGTGTGGAAGAAGGGATTTGAGCAGGTGTTGCTTGCATGATGCTAAAGGTACAGAAGAGTCCTGTCCTCTTTTTCATCTAGACTCTTTGAAAAGGGCAATCTGGTACCGGATGCCTCAACAATTGATCTTGACTTTCATTTATTAGTGAGCTTTATGGTCACAAAGAC